TAAACACTTTTTATGACTTTTCACTAAATTTTCTGATTTTCGAATAAATTTATTTAATTTTACATATTTTTTTAACTTCTTACTACTATTAATAGGTACTTTATTAGGACTATAGGAGCTTGGTGTATTTGTCAAATCTATGGTCACAAGGGGCAGAGCAGATGTTTGATCACTAGTAGTATTTAACATTTCTGTATACAGATCCATGGTCTCGTTATAACTACTCAACCGCCTGTGATCCAACAAAGATTTATTTTGTGATTGAACTACACAATATACCACACAAATATACCACATACATATACATATATATATATATATATATATATGTATATGTATGTGGTATATTGTGTTCTCTTGTATTTGATATTTATATGTTGTATTTAACGTATGTATATATATGTATATGTGTGTGTATTTGTATATATATATATATATGTATATAATTTCTGTCTTGCACTACTACTGCCCACTCACTACTTCCTATGCCACTGCGTTAGGTTGACTGGAAGAAATCTCTTTTAGAGATAAGTCCGCCTTTGCTAACATTGTTATTACTGTATGTTGTAGTGCAATAAAGAATATAAATATATATATATATATATTTATATTATTGCTGACTAGCAATATAATTTATTTTTATTTAAATCAGAAATTTTATGCCTATATAAACTTATACAAACTCAATCAGGCGTAATGTAGATAGATTTAGATAGCCAAATTACTGCCCAGCTACGGACCTGGACCTCTAGACAAGTGGCAAGCGAATTCGTGGATGGAATCGACATCGCTAGCTAGTCCGTGAGATAGAATGAGTCACCCGGCGATGCTATCGCCGGCTGACTCATTCCAACTCAAGAAACTAACAACGGGGCTTTCAAACTCCATTGATAACAATTCCTTTCTCCTAATATGCCCCTGGAATCCATCGTGAACAATTCTTGTTGAATTCGTCACGATGGGCTAACTGACCTACTTAATCCTCACCTATCATCCTTCACTGGTGCCCCGCTGGTGTATACCGATAGCGCAGGTAGGGTTACCATTCCATTATCACTCGTTAAAAAAAACCTACTTATCACCATCACCGTGTGGTCCCGGCATAAAATGGTCCACCCCTCCCTTTCCTGTTTATAAATTGGAGTCGACAACAACGGCAACAATCAATGAGTACCCCATCTGCGATTGCAGTCGTGAACATATATTGTATTCACCAGAAATATGTCGTCTCGTTGTAATAACAAAAGGAACACAGTATTATCTCAGCCGTGTCAGTTCTACAATGTACTCGTATACTGTGTACTCACATATTTTATACAGGGCATACCTTTTGAAACGCAAACAAGGCTTAGATGTCGCATCTTTATTTGCATTATACATAACAATGGTCCTACAATAATGACATACGACTCTGGCCGTGGGCACAAACCTGAACATTTACGGTGTATCTAAGTAAATGTAACGGCTTTTTGTGGAAATATTTCGTCATAGACGTAGAATACTGACGGTACTGATAAATATTACATATAAAGATCCGTCGGTATTCTATGACTATGACGATTTGTCTGAATGCTAATATGGAAGGTTGTGGAACTTCTGGTAGTAATAGTGGTGGTCAATCTTAGAGTGTTGGCAGTCACACACATACTAATGGTAGCGGAATTAAACGAAATAATTCTTATCAAATAACCAGTGATATGGACTTCCGTAAGATAATACCTAGTTAAAGAAAATATTTTGCAATACAGAAGTCCACGTGTCAATGTTAGAATCTTTTTTTTTTAATGGATATAAATGGAATGGTGACTCCTCCTGCGTTATCGGTTTACAATGGTGGGCACCAGTGAGGATGAAGCGAAAATAGATATCCGTGTTTTTTTTTTATGAGTGATAATGGAATGGTAATCCCATCCGCGCTGTTGGTATACACCGGCGGGACACCAGTGAAGGATGATATGTAAGGATGAAGCAGGTCAGTTAGCCCATCGTGACGAATTGTTCACGATGGTTTCCAGGGAGAACCACGTAGAGGTCGACCTAATAGGGTATATTGCTAGCAATGGGGCTTTAAAACTCCATTGCTAACAATCCTTTTCCCCCCAGATTTCCGTGTTGGCCAGGCGGCCTAATATAGGGTTATAGTTTAAGTTTCCATCTCTTACATTAATACATTTATTGTGTTACAACATCCTAGGGATGAAAACGGCAATACTATATTATTTCCCATATCCCAATTTCCATATTATCAATATTTTTCTAGATGTTTCTCTTTTACCAAAAGTTGACTGGTACAAAATCCTATACAGCATTAAGTCCGCCTTTTGTACCAAATATTTTTTGCAATATGGTCAATAAAGAATAAAATGAATAAATCATAAAAACCAAGTTGAAAACAGTGCTATAACAATTTGTCATACAGCGCTATTCTCGTACTTAGCTACCCAGCTTACGTTAGCTTAGTTGCCCACTGCAAACAAGATGAAAGAAATCTTAGAAATCCAGTCCAACACCGGTTCAAAACCGTAACGTGACTTCGCACGGTTTATTTTATTTATTACACGTATTAGCGACAAGTGACGAGTACGTACGTACATTCAAACTAGTTATCAAGTCGGTTTCAGATTACCACGTACTGGCATTAGGTCTAATAGGGAAGCAGATGTGTTCTCCATTTTACATTGTTACTTTATTTTTTTATACAACCTAGAATGGTAAACAAGTTTAACCCTTCTTTGCATGATTTTTTGTTATTGGTGAAATAAAAATAAATCAAGATGATATAATTCATGTTCAAAATTAAAGGAAAAATGGTTAAAAAAATAAATTTGACAGCTATGTTTTTTTTCTGCAATATACATTAAAAAGGTATCCAGGCACGATTAACTTAAAGTGAATTTGTTCTTTTAAATAATTTTTGGGCATTCAATGTTATGATGGAAATTTCCACCATTATGCAAAGAAGGTTTAAATTTGAACAGCTGAATGGGCGTCACAGGACGCACGTACTATGAGATAGGGACTTGGCTATTTTTCTGTCCCGATCAATTAACAGTTCAATAATTAACAGGTCACGTGGACAAAGTCACGGGTATAAACTAGTGTTATAGTAGATAGAAGACGCCCAGAGCAATACAAATATATGTGTAATAAATGAATAGAAATGTTTGTACAATACAGGAATTGAACTGCAATCATTAGAAAGATTAAAAAGTAAGAATTTTGTCCTTATAATAATTTTTTTATGCAACTTAGAACTGATGGCCTACCTGATGGAAAGTGGTAACCGTCGCCTATTGACATGTAATGTACAATATATATGGACATAATAGAGTACACTGTTTCGCCTGTTACTGTTTACCATCAGACCATCATACCCTCTTTGTGGTATAAAAAAATTTTTGGATACATTGTATATTTACAAGCAAAAAAAAATAACGATGTATCTAACTCATCGCGCCATAGGCATTACTCATCTGTAAAGAAAAATGTGATTTCACCGCGTAAGTAATACCTCGCATCTCGTCTGGGATAAGATGAAAAAACTGTTTTGAATAATCTACGCGATTCTTGAACATCGGATTATGTACATCAATTTGTCGGTGTGAAATTTGTTATAGCAACACTTTTTTCTATATTTATTAGATCTCTGGTTTTTTCGCATAGAAAATTGGCTTGATAAATGAGAAAAAAATTGACCTTACAGTACTAATATGGCGCGTCCATCTAAGACAGTATGGGGAAAGCTATTTTTTTTTTAAAAGCACTTAATGTATTTAAATAAAATTTAATACATGGATAGGCTATATCCTAACTTAATACATGGAATACATTATATACTGATTCACGCGAGCAAAGTCGCAGAACACAGCTAAATTGATGAATCAATTTTGATAAAATATTCTTATGGAAATCAGTATGGAAAAAAAATAGAACAATTTTGAGGAATTAAATGTAACCTAATCGACTACAGATATCATTAATATTACGTTATTAGGTTTTTTATTATTAAGAAGGTAAACAGTCGAGCAGACAGTCCAACTGATGGAAAGCGACTACCGTCGTATAGTTTTAGCATATCAGCTATTATTTCTCCACTGCTGAACTTAGGCCTCCTCCATAAGGGGGATTTTGGCAAAAGAGATGGTAACCGCAGTTAGGCTTTTGGAGATTTTTTAAGAGGGACACTCGCCGTTAAGTCATCATTAAGTTCCCTTAGTCGCCTCTTACGACTTACGACATGCACGGGATAAGAAGTGGTGGCCCATTCTATGTCGAAACCACACAGCTATTTATAATATAATCGGATATTCATAAAAAAACATAGTACGTCAGTAGTGACATTATAAAAATATGTTTGTGAACGCACTAGGTCGTACAATTTATTGACCTAATCGCGCTGCGGCCGCGCCGACCTCGGGTTAATATCACTTATGGACTGACGCACCTTGCCTCTTATCTATACGAACTGCAATATGAATGTACACACGATTCTATACCTAACCCTTGCAAGAGTTTTGATTGTAATGTAATCATATATATATATATATATATATATATATATATATATATATATATATATATATATATATATATATATATATACGCGCCATCGGTGTATACCGATGACGCGTGTGGGGTTACCACTATTCTATTATCACCCATAAAAAAGACAGGGTATATTACTGATTGAAATTCTTGGTTTTTTTTTTATGGCACAAAATCTTTTACACAAAATGTGAACTTAATGTTAAATGGCATCCTCTCCCACTCAATTTGAAGGTAAAAGAAATTTGTTTTTATGCTTTTTCTTTTTATACAACTTAGAATGGCAAACAAGCTGACGGCTCATCTGATGGAAAGTTATAACCGTCGCCTATAGATATGTGTAGTACCATAAACAACAGAGTATACTGTTTCGCCCATGATACCCCCCATGCGTTGTCATCCCTGAGGACTCAGGTGGTGCTAAGATTATGTAAAATATCAATTCCCCATTCCAGGAGTCGATGAAAACATTCCATTTGCTTTTGAACGAGACTTCCCGCCGTTTACAAGCTCTCACCAAGCGGATGGGCACATGTGTTGACAAATCGAGGCCTTACTACGACGCAGTCGGTGTGGCGGCTACAGCCAGGTCCGAGTGCCAGAAGGCGGCAGTTCAGTTCCAGAGAGCCAGCGGTAAGTGAATTAATTAAGGAGATTTTTTTTTAGTTTTTACTAATTGAACTGTCAAATTTTAAAATCATTAAACTAAATTTCTAATGTAAGTAGTATATTCATTTATTTTAACATTTATTATGTAAGTAGGTAGGTATTATATGTATTTATTGTGTATGTATTTATGTAATATTTTATTATATAATTTAATATTTTATTTAACTGTATATTTGTTTATGTATTAATAGTTGAAGCACTTCAGCTGCCCGCTAACGACATGCTTTCTCACTGTATTGGGTTGACTGGAAGAGATCTCTGTCAGAGATAAGTCCACCCTTGCTCACAACATTTATAAATACATTATTTTATATGTAACTTACAAGTGCAATAAAGAATATATATATAATATTCAATGAGTGGGGTTAAGGTGAATTAAAAGAACATCGAATTAAATTGTTCCCAAATACAGGATATAAAGAAAAACAGAGAACATCATCAGAGAATTCTTTTAAAATTTTAAGAGCTTTAATAATGAAATGGTAACCGTATACACTGACGGGGCACCAGCGAGGGATGATAGGTGAGGATCGAAAGGAAATCACACACGGCTATCTATCTAATCTGTATCTCTAAATGTATTATAATTTATGGTATTTAAATTGTATGAGCTTCATTCCCCTACATTTATAATGAACTGGCTGTATCCCGCGGTTTTGGCCGTATGCATTACAGTCATATTGCAAGCAAGGCACGGAATGGGCAGTGGAGTCCCTCGTAAAACATCACCAAAGGTTAACTGCGGTTGCCAATCCGCCTGCCAGCTTGGCAACAGCTGGCAAAACCCCCCAATAGGGGGAGGCCTGTGTTCAACTGTTTTTTTTTTTTGATGGGTGAAAATGGTATGGTAACCCCGCCTGCGCTAACGGGATACGCTGGTGGAGCACCAGTGAAGGGTGATAGATGAGAATGAAAACAGGCCAGTTAGCCCATCGTGATGAATTCAACAGGAATTAATCATGATAGTTTCCAGGGAGAACCGCGAGGAGGTCGACCTTGTTGGGTATATTGCTAGCAATGGGATTCTCAGTCTCTATTACTAACAATCCCTTTCCCCCTGCGTTCAACTGTTAACGGCTTATACAATACAATTAGTACATCTGTCTCACTCATATTCCTGCCGTCTAACAGCATTGCTTGCATGTTTATCTTTAGGTTTGTATGAATGCGATATGGCAACGAAATTAGTGGATATAAAAGCAAAAACTTTTGTCTTCAAGAATGGCAACGCATATAGTGGTTGTGTTCTTTTGTCCTTGTTATTCCTTTATGCGATGGTCACTCGTTACTACTTTCCGTCACGATAATGACCGTTTAAGAGGTATAACGGTACATACAGACAAAGGCTTCAAACCTTTGGATCAATGATTAAAAACAATAGTTCTTACAAATAATTGCCAAATTACCGGAACGCTGTAGAGTCCGTTATCAGCCGACAGTCTTATCACGCTGCCGATAAATGCTTCCTGTGGGGCGCCATGAGAGATGTTTCCACCCGCACTTGGCCCTGAAGGTCATCGGTCACGGTCAATCGTCCGTCATGTTTACCGCACAGTATTTTTTTAATGGGTGAAAATGGTATGGTAGCCCCGCCTACGCTAACGGGATACGCTGGTGGAGCACCAGTGAAGGGTGATAGATGAAAATGAAAATAGGCCAGTTAGCCCATCATGATGAATTCATCAGGAATTAACCATGATAGTTTCCAGGGGGAACCGCGAGGAGGTCGACCTGGTTGGGTATATTGCTAGCAATGGAATTCTCAGTCTCCATTACTAACAATCCCTTTCCCCCCAACTATCAGTGTACTATGGCGGGGCACTAGTGAGAGATGATAGGTGAGGATAAAATCTACCATGAAATATTTTCCGAAATTTCGGTACCGAACGTAACAGAAATTTGATGTTAAAATTACATGATACCAAATACAGTTTCAAAATTAATTTAAAAAAAATCTTAATTGACAGGCAAAAGTTAGACATTCCATCAAGTTACCTCTATGTTCCATTTGTTTGCTAGATGAACTGTCATATCTGTCTGTTTACTGTATATATAATCTGGTAGTATTGTTTTATTGTTACCCTATTCACTTTGGCCGCAACAGAATATCAGTGCTTTGCTCTTTTGAGGGCGAAGCAATAAACTGAGTTGTGGCCATTTTGTATTGTTATGGCACACGCACAAAAGAAAAATTGTACTTGGCTCTATGTATTTTTTTTAATCATTTAAGTTATCTCGCTTTTTATATATGTTATAATTTGTGTACTGTAAGTAAAGCAAATAAATTATCTATCTATCTAACTATTAACCGTTTAAAGATATTAACGATGGTAAAATGTCGTTCTTTTGGACTTTCATGGTAGGATTTATGACGAACGAAATGTTAAACGCCATTTACTGGGCCGATTTCGGTACGTAACAAAAACACAAAATTGAGTCCAAAATTCCGAATTTCATTTCATGGTAGACGCCCAGGTACTTTAAATTTCTTTTTAACATTTAAAATCTCTTTTTAACATGGAAAGGTGTTTATAACTGCAATACATACATACATATCTGTCACGCCTGTCTCCCATTAGGGTAGGCAGAAACAATGGAACGCCAAATGCATTTATTCCATAATTGTTTACTACTTAATAAACAAGTGTAAAATTATCTTATATAATACGTATGATATATAATATGTTGAACGGTTTCTCGTTCTGAAGGTTAACTTCTCATTTTATACTGTCCTTTGTTATACTGTGTACACTCAAGAAGTACTAATGAATAATGGATTAACTATTATACGATGGGCGCAAAGGGATTGTTAGTAATAGAGACTGAGAATCCCATTTCTAGCAATATACCCAACCATGTCGACGGTCCTCGCGGTTCCCCTTGGAAACTATCATGGTTAATTCCTGATGAATTCCATCCATCACACAAGAATAACACCTGAATCCTCAGGAATGGCAACGCATGGAAGGTATCCCGGGCGAAACAGTTTACTCTGTTATGTCCACGGTACTGCTCATGTCTATAGGCGACCGTTACCACTTTTCATCAGGTGGGTCGTCAGCTTATTTTCCATTGTATGTTGCATAAAAAAAAATAGTTGCCACATTTGGCAGGCGTATTGGCAACCGCAGTTAGGGTTTGGAGATGTTTTAAAAGGAACGCTGCTGTCCAACTCTCGCCCTCCCTTAGTGGCCTCTTACACCCACCCACACCCACGGGAAAGGAAGGGGTAGCCTATTCTATATCGGGAACTATACGGCGATATTTTATAATAATTGAAAATATGACTAACTGACTATTGTGTAGTCAAGGTGAATTAAGAGAACTGCTAAATATTGCATAACTGTATGAAAGAGAACTCTGTATAAGGCAATCTTTGAACACAACGAGCTGCATTGATAGCGCATTCTACGCAGTATTAATATGGTTATTGCTTTACGAACTACTCGTAATAGACGCAGAATGTCTGCACTAAGATATTCTGTTTATTTGGATTAGGGTTGTCAAAACACGAAACTAAGATTTCTTTGTACTGCCCAGTTGTGTCGGCTTATTCTTATTTAGATTTGATGTCTAAGAGAAAATTGAAAGGTTTAAATTTTTTATGCGACTTAGAATGGCGAGCAAGCGGCCCACCTGATGGAAAGAAATAACGGTCGCCTATAGACATGAGCAATACCATGGATATAACAGAGTATACTATTTCGTCTACGATACCCCTCATGTATTGCCATTCCTGAGGACTCGGGTGTTATTCTTCTGTACCCAGTAAATTCACGCCATATCGCACTCTTCAATCCGAAACGCAGCCATTCAAACACAACTGCTTTACGGTTGGAACGAAACGAACGGGGACAGAGGTACCTAAGCAATCGACTTTTGTACAAAGTCTCCCTCTGGTAAATATATATAATACGCGCCCACTTTCATTTTGATTTGTCAAACCGTATCGCAGTTATGAGAACAGAATTGGTAGGAATGCGGACTATCAGCCCCATTGGTAGCAATGTGCCCTGTCAGGTCGACCTCCACGTGGTCCCCCCCAGAAACCATCGTGCTGAATTCTAAGTATATTCATGGGCGATGGGCTAACTGATCTGGCTTTTCATTCTCACCTATCGTCCCTCACTGGTACTCTGCCAGTCTACACCTTTAGCGCAGGCGAGGTTACCATTCCATTATCATCCATTAAAACAAAAACTGTATCGCAATCTATTAATCTCAAACATATAGATGACAAATCAACCTCTTACAGTTTCCATATTTACCGAATTATTTTGGATATTTATTAAATTTATAAAACGACACGTAACTGTGACAACCCTAATTTTAGTGTGTGCCTCTGTTTATGACCTAATTCGTCCGTTGGCGGGCGTTAAATAATAAAATTGTAATTTGTTTCAAGATACGCAGCGAACACCACTTTATATATACTAATATTGTGCATTGCTTCTGCTATATATTCTTCATCTATATTTATTCAATATTCCCCTCATTCTGTCAATATCTGGTATATATATGTCATTATATTATGATGAAACGAGAATATCCGCAAAAGAACCAAAGTAACCGACATAATCCGAAGGTTTTTTTGTTATGGGTGAAAATAGTACGGTAACCCCACCTGCGCTAACGGGATACGCTGGCGGAGCACCAGTGAAGGGTGATAGATGCGAATGAAAACACGCCAGTTAGTCCATCATGATGAATTCATCAGATGATCAGACTGAGAATCCCATTGCTAGCAATGGGATTCTCAGTCTCCATTACTAACAATCCCTTTCCCCCCTTACTCGAAGGTTAAGCAAGCTGAAGTGGCAATGGGCTGGTCAAATAGCTCGAAGAACCGACAACCGATGGAGAAGAAAGGTTCTTAAGTGGCGACCGCGTACGGCCAAACGTAGTGTAGGAAAACTCCCCCACACGATCTCAATTGCATTGCAGAGAGTTAGTGGATGCAAATGGCTCAGGACAGTTCCTTATGGCAGTCTATGAGGGAGGCTTATGTCCAGCAGTGGACGGGTAATGGCTGAAATGTTGATGATGATGACATGCACGTCTATATTTTTATTTTTATCTAATTTTATTCTGGTTCAAAGTTTCTGCCAAATTTACCCTTAACAAAACCAGCAAAGATGTGCATGTATTGTGATGTAATAAGAAAGACAAAAAAAAAAACATTTTAATGAAACAAAAGAAAAACAAAAAAAAGTGTTTTACAATTATGAAGTAGTTTTGTATTACAATATTTTTGATTGAATTGAACAGGGAGTATAAGGTACCAAACAAACTCACTTTCACATTTTTACCATTACTAAGGATAAACTATGAATAACATTTGGGTAGGAGAAGTGTGACTTTAAAATCTTTATATATATATAAAACGACATGACGATTTTTTAAAGAGCATAGTAGAAGGAATAACTACATGGGACAGATAAAAGAAACACTAGGTGTCATGTCGTATAGAGAGGTCAAAGATATGGCCTGAGATAGAGACGGCTGGAAGAAGATGCATGAATTAGTTGCACCGACAAGAGGAAACTCTTAAATAAAAAGAGAGACTATTTTTACTACGAGCGTTAAAATATTTACGGGGCGGGTGCGCACACGCAGGAAGTCACTTATCGAGCGGATCGCCGCTTGTTATAGTCGTCGGCGCTCCAACATCGTATAATCATTGCATAACAACAATATTTTGAGATTTGTTTCACAAGAAACTACATAATTAGTATAGATTAAAGAGAAGTGAGTCCTAACAATTGCAAAGAGAATAATAGAAATCGATACAAAATTGAAGCAAGTAAAAAGAACAATTTATTTATTAATTTAAACTTTAATACACAGTAAAATAGTATATACATTTGGCGGACTTAACACCGGACGGTGTTCTTTACCAGTCAACCTTTAAATTTTTTTTCTACTAGTAACTCAAAGACAGATTCAAAATTTCTTATAAGTATTATCCTGTTAATATTATATCATAAATGCGAAAGTTTGTTAGAATGAAAAGAAAGAAAAAAAGAAATAATAATTTAAAAAACAACAATACATATAACAGTAAAAATTAATTAATACAAAAAGAAAAAAGCACTAAAACGGTCTTACTTTGTCATATGCCAATGTTATACGAATGTTTGGTTACACTTTTACAGACAAGTACATAGATAGATAGATAGATAGATAATTTATTTGCATTACTTACAGCACACAAACAGCAAAAGACACAAATGCAAAGGAACAACGATAAAAAAAGATACACGTACAAATAATTAAAAAAAAAAACAAAAACAAAATCAGAATGCATAGAATTAGTAACAATTTTTTTTTCTTCATACTTGTGCCACAGTAATACAAAATGGCCACAACTCAGCTTTTTGCTTTGCCCTAAAAAGAGTAAAACACTGATATTCTGTTGTGGCCAAAAGTGAGCCGCGAAATACCACTGAAAAAAAATAATAAAAAAAAAAGAAAGAAATATAGATCAAATCAGATTGTGTGCGTTCGTTATAGTCGATTTTATAAAGTATCTTATAATTTAAGTTAGGACGTAACCTTAAATTATATAAATATACTGTCTCCATACAAATGCTTCGAGAAAAGCGGATCAACTTTTTCATACAATTTTGCGTGATAAATAGTTATGAGTGATTCCTTTATAACTTTTATATCTATTTTGTCTTTTAAATACTGCATCTTTTTAAAGCACAAAAACTCATTTTATTTATTATATAAAGAAATATAAATACGTCAAGATACGTATAGTGTGCGTAATCATATAGAAAGTTTTTAGACTCGATCTATATAATCTAAGGATGTAACCCAGCCGTGTACAAAAATTTAATCAAATGCGCTCAATAGTTTTACGTGAAAGAGTAACAAACATTCATCCATCCACCTTACAAACTTTCGCATTTTGGGGGAAAGGGATTGTTAGTAACGGAGACTGAGAATCCTATTGCTAGCAATATACCCAACCAGGTCGACCTCCTCGCAGTTCTCCCTGGAAACTATCATGGTTAATTCCTGATGAATTCATCATGATGGGCTAACTGGCCTGTTTTCATTCTCATCTATCACCCTTCACTGGTGCTCCGCCAGCGTATCCCGTTAGCGCAGGCGATGTTACCATACCATTTAAACCCATAAAAAAAAATCTTTCGCATTTATAATATTAATAGGATTAAACATTTTCATCCCATATTCATTGTGTCACATGTTAAAGTCGATGTTTTTGCGGAACAAGAATGTAGGTACATGTTTACGCGAAACACTGCGCGTGCGCATTGCGCTAGTGTGCAAACACTGAAACGATTGTTTGCCGAACAAATAGTGAGACGAGTTGAACTGACAGCAATGGCTGATTAGATAACTCGACATGTGGCCCGTGTGGAACACAACCTTGGCACTGATTAATTTGTCATTTGAATAGCGTTGTGTAAAAATTTATATAAAGCAGGAAGTCCAGTTTAGCAGATGGCTATATTAATGTTTATTGTGTTAAACTCTGCGGGCTATGGAGAGGGCTTTTTTTTTAATGGATGATAATGGAATGGTAACCCCTCCCGCGCTATCGGTATACACCGGCGGGGCACCAGTGAAGGATGATAGGTGAGGATGAAGTAGGTCAGTTAGCCCATCGTGACGAATTCAACAAGAATTGTTCACGATGGTTTCCAGGGGGAACCACGTGGAGGTCGACCTAATAAAGCATATTGCTAGCAATGGGGCTGTTAAACTCCATTACTAACAATTCTTTTCCCCCCGCTATGGAGAGGGTTATGCTCGGAGTCTCTTTGTGTGATAGAATCCGAAACGAGGATATCCGCAAAAGAACCAAAATAACCGACATAGTCCGAAGGATAAGCAAGCTGAAGTGGCAGTGGGCTGGTCACATAGCTCGAAATACCGACGACCGATGGGAAGAACTTCTTGTTCTTGAGTAGTAACCGCGTACAGGCAAACGCAGTGTAGGACGCGTTCACACTAGATAGAGTGACGAACTCAAATGCTTTGCAGGGAATCAGTGGATGCAGATAGATAGATAGATAATGTATTTGCATTACTTACAGCACACAAATTACAACATACATACGAGGTCTGTCCGGAAAGTTCGTATAAAAGTGTTCTGGAATGCGAGAAAGAGGAGTGGGGAGGCCAGGTAAGCGCAGGACCCCTTCCTTATGTCCCTAACAATGCTTCAGTTCTGGTCTGACCGCCGTGCGGTGCGAACTGGCTTGTCACGCCATCTGTGAAGTTACCTCTTAACGAAACCCCGTCGGCATGGAGCCCGCTTCCGTTGAAGAGCAGCGCGTCGTAATCAAGTTTCTCTCGAAACTCGGCAAGAATGGCCGTGAAATTTTTGCCGATCTCAGAACAGTTTATGGGGATGATGCTGTGAAGGAACCAACCGTCCACAAGTGGCTAAAAAGATTCAGAGAGGGCCGAGACAATGTTGATTGTTTTTTTCGATGTTCGGGGGATTGTCCATCAAGAATTCGTCCCTCCAGGCCAGACAGTTGATGGAAAATTCTACGTCGATGTGCTCAGACGCCTCAAAGCTCGTGTGGCACGGTCCAGAATTGGCGCGAGAGGGGCGTTGGATTCTTCACCACGACAATGCCCCTGCCCACACCTCTCTTGTTGTCCGTGAGTTTTTGAGTAAAAATTCCATTACGGTGACCGAACACCCCCCCTATTCGCCGGATTTGGCCCCGTGTGACTTCTTCTTGTTCCCAAAAACCAAATTGGTACTTCGGGGGCGGCATTTGGGGGACATAAATGAGATAAAAAAAGCTACGACGGGGCAGCTGAGAAACCTACAACCAGAGGACTTTCAAGGAGCCTTCTCACAGTGGAAACGGCGTTGGCACAAGTGCATTATGTCACAGGGGGAGTACTTTGAAGGGGATAAAATTGATTTACCTGAATAATTGTAAAATAAAATTTTTAAAAAACTTTTATACGTACTTTCCGGACAAACCTCGTATACAAAAAAAGAGCGAGATAACGTAAATGATTAAAAAAAAAAATACACAAAGCTAAATACAATTTTCGTTTGTGAGTGTGCTATAGCAATACAAAATGGCCTACAAAATGCAGGTGGCTCAAGTCCGTTCCTTATGGCAATATATGCGGAAAGCCTATGTCCAGCAGTGGACGGATGACGGCAAATATGATTATAATGATGATGATGTCAAACTCATGAATGCAGATGGCTTAGAACCGTTCTTTATGGCAATCTTTTACGAAACACGTGTCGCAAAAGGTACGTGAACAAAATAACAGGCGGAGATTGATAACTAATATGGAAGTTTGTGGACTTTCTGGCAGTAACAGTAGTGGTCAATCTTCGAGTGTTGGCAGTCACGCATATACTAATGGTAGCAAAATTAAACCAAATAATTTAAATCAAATAACCCGTGATATGGATTTCCGCAAGATATCACTTAGTTCAGTAAAATAAATACATCATTCGTGTTTCAATCGTGAAGCAGCTGTGTTTCCATGCTAGCAATGTACCCTATCAAGTCGACCTCTACGTGGTTCCCCCTGTAAACCATCGTGATTAACTCTAGTGCAATTCATCACGATGGGCTAACTGACCTGCTTTCATCGTCACCTATCATCCCTCACTGGTGCCCCGCCAGCGTATACCGATAGCGTAGGCGGGGTTACCATTCCATTATTATCCATTAAATATAAAGGTCTCCAAGACACTTGCGGCATTTCCGCGCTGGGTTGCCAGTTTTTTTTATTTTATTCTTGCTATTATTAATTGCAGAACTTCACGCGGCAGCGAAGGAGACTGTGACGTTAGCAGAACAGCGCTTTGTTAGCAAGCAGGACGAGTGGCAATTCGACAGTAACTGGCAGGAAGTGCTTAATCATGCTATCATCAAGGTGAGACCTTCGTTTACTATTTTTAAGCAACTTTTAATGGAAAATCGTTGTGAGCCCACTGTCGAAATTGTTGACCGTGGCCTATAGACGTTACCCCTTCATTTACTAGCTGTTTTTGCGACGTAGTTTGCGCAAAGATTTGTTGTATTTTCTCACGGGATTGAGACATTTTACCATAGTAACCCCTATATGCCCACACAAGTACTAAGCTATTACCATACCATATTTCATCACACACTCATCCAGTAATTTTTGCGTTAAGCGTGCAAATATCGTCATCATGTTGCAATTTAATTAATTAATTAACAAAATAATTAATTGTATAAAAAATAAATCCATAGATTTTTCCTCCTTGAGATAATCGGAAGTACTGTATCAATTATTATAGACTTGATTTAAGATGTTATTTGTGATTAAATGCAAATAATTATTGCTTGAAAATTTTTATTTTAAATAGGTGATTTGATCTACTTATTTATTTTATTGTTCAGGTCATGGATGCAGAAAAGAGGAAAGCGGAGAGCGGCCGTGAACACCAGAAAAAGGCAGCGGCGTATATTGCTGCGGAAAGAAAAGTAAGATCCAAATTTACTATAAATCTAGATAGTATAACTAAACTGATTTCACTCATTTTAATTCTAGGTGGCCCAACTAGAAGAGAGTTTGAAGCGTAACATAATAAAATCCCGCTTATACTTCGAGGAGAAGAAACTCTGTGACGAGCAGCTGCAGACACAGAACGAGAAGATAGAGAAGTTGCAGCGACTCATATCGGATGCAAAGTTTCGTTACTCCAAATCTCTTAAAGCTTTAGAGGAGATCTCCGAAGAAATACACAGAAGAAGAGGTGAATATCCTCCAGGAAAAGACAGTATACCCGTAGGTCCCAGAGAACCAGGAGTAGGGGCCGAAAGAGATCCTATTCATGATGAAATAGATGCTAAAGAGGAACACGAGAAAGACGAAGAGTCTAGTCTTCAAGAGTTAAGACTGCGTGTTAGGGAACTGGCGCTAAAGCCTATTGATAGAAAAGAAGTGGAAACGGACGAGGCGTGGGCTTTGGAACTTAACGAGACAATAAACAAATTGGACCAGCTGCTGATGATGAAGGAGAGCAACCAACAGAAGAGATCTAAGTTCACAGCAAGCTCGCCCAGAAACTCCAGTGCACCATCGACTAGCACTAACACTGGGAACAAATATACGCAACCTCCAAGCGACAGTTGGAAGACAGAATCGAATTTGTCAAGAACCAAATCTATCAGTCGCGAAGTAATTTTTGAGCACACAAATCCCCCGATTAGTAAAACGGAGAAGTCTAAAAGTATGATGTCGCTCGATGTTCTTGCCTTAGCCAGAGACACAGCAATAATGGATCGCGAGTCGTATTTGAAAGCCGTCATAGAAGATAAGTCTCCAACTGGCACTTACACGGAAAGTAATTCTGATAGGAACGAAAGTCCTGACGAAATATTGATGGTGGAGTGTGACTCGAGCGATTCTGCGCAAAATCCAGTTATAAGAATGACTAGTTCTGTTACGGATAGTGATAACAGCTAAATTGTTTTGGCATACTCACTCCTTCATTGCCAGGTACTTATGAAATGTCTGGATTTTTGTATTTATGTCTTTGAAATTTTTAAATTTTCTAACCTTTAAGTACGTTCATAACTTTAGCCAACCGAAGTGTAGCAACGTCGCAGTTACCTGTCAATTTTCAAAAACATTTGAACATTTTTCAATGTTTTTGATTGGTTATTTAAAGAGTGCTCTGCTACCGAACTATAACGTTAATCATGGAATATGTCGTATATAAATTCTGTGCCTCTAGTGAGAACGGGTATAACTCAAGTTATAGCCTTTTTCTTTTTTAGGCTACTTTAAATAAGCAAATTTTTCTCTTTCGAATGGTATAAGAATCGTAACGATATCTTTAAAAACAATAGAGATAGTAAACATGTAAAAGGCTACAATTAACAAAATATTTGTGGTAAAAAAGTCATAATTAGAAATAAAACTATAATATTTTACAAAAAATAGTGCCAAAAATGACAAGATACTTAGAACCACCCTTTAAATATGAATTTATTTTTGTGTAAAATGAATCAGTTCGATTTGAACCCTTTTACACCATTTAATAGCGATTATTTTTTATAGCGTAAAATACACAACATTGTTTTTCTTCAATACTTCAATAAAATAGTTTTAATTCAACTTAAAACTATTTTCACATGATAATTTTAAAATTTTTGTTAAGCGTGATTAGGTATAATAGAATTATTTTTAAAACTATAGGTTTTACACAAAAACCGACAATTTCATAAGAAAGAGGAGAAAAAATTACTATAAATGCAATCATTGACTTGTTCAATTAGCAAATAATAAAAGCAGCAGAATTTTTTTTCTTTATTTAAAATAGTTTTTAATTTAAAAATTTTAAAAATTTTAAAAATTTAAAAATTTAAAATAGGAGAGCCAAAACTCTCCTGAAAAGTGGCCATTTTGAATTGAACCCTTTCTCACTAAAGGCACAGAATTTACCATTAAAAACTACACCTATTTCATATTTTGCTTTGAAATTTTTCAAGTACATTTGTGCTCATGAGAATCCAAATTTTCAGTGACAACTTAATAAGATTATTATTGCTTGATCAACCGAGCGGACCGAGAACATTTTAAATAATCAGCCAGAAACATTAAAAATTCAAAAATATTTGATACATAGATAGAAAAATACTTTGAGTCATGTATGACATACGTAAATTAACAAATGGATACAATCAAATTATTTTTTTTTTAATACAAAACAAAAGATAGATCACAAAAATATGTTTTCGCCATATGTGTCGCAATTATCCGAATAAGCTACAGCTCAGTGATAATTTAGCTTAAAAGCAAAACACTGATTTTCAACTGCAGCCTAAAGTTAGGTTACACGGACGCGTGTAACGAACCCAGAGCGTTACCCTGTATGACCAAATTAACAAAAATAAAATTGTATTATATAGATTCATACTTATATAAATGATTCATAATTAATATATTTGATCAATTAACTAAACATACAATATAAATAATTCACCACAATAATTATTATGTTGAAACAGCCGCTACCTGGCGGCCATACTAATTGCAGTGTTGCTATACTTCTGTAAAGTTATAAATGACCTTAATAAATACATTGCAATAAAATAAATGGGTAAAAAAAAAGAAATAATAACACGAAGTTATACATCGATGCCTCACAACGTATACGCGCATGATTGTCTAATGTCATTTGTGTGTTTAAAAGTCAATTGTACTCGTTAGATTTTTGTAAAAGAAAAAAAAATTGGTAAAAAATTATTTTGTATCGGTGTAGATAGTTTTTTGATATATATATATATATATATATATATATATATATATATATATATATATATATATATATATATATATATATATATATATATATATATATATATATATATATATATATATATATATATATATATATATATATATATATAAAGTCGTTATGTACGTGTTTATAATTGTAATGTTTACTTCGAGAGAGCCATATCAGTCCACCGACATTAGCTCACAAATAATTAACTTGGTAGCGTACTTTTTCTTACACGGTTGTTTATATTTAAGAACGGAGTTATTGTTGCCTGATTGATTTAACTCTTACAAATGTTCTAGTACTAATTATGCTCGCATGCCTAAACGTAGACACGTTCCACTATCTCAATCACTAATCACTTGCTTTAAATTACTAACGTCAGTTGGCTTACAGCTAACACAAAAAGTAAACTGCGGTTAAATGTATTAAAAATGTACCAAACCATTTTTAGTAAACTTTTATGCCGGTTATTACAAGTTTATATAAAAAAAATTAAATGACCAAACAATCAAAATACAGCCAAAAACAAAGGAATACTTTGAAATTTCTTTGAAAGTTTGGGAAATAAGCACGGGAGAAGCTATTTTTGTAACAAAAACACTTGTAAATTTTTTTAGTTTATCAAAATGTAATACTAAAACTCAAATATATATACCATAAACGTGGTAAACAAACAAACAGCCTGTCTGATGGTAAATAATCACTCTTTCTTTTCATTTAAGAGTTTCCTCTTGTCGGTGTAACTAATTCATGCATCTTCTTCCAGCCGTCTCTATCCTAGGCCACATCCTTGCCCTCCCTATACGACATGACACCTAGTGTTTCTTTTATCTGTCCCATGTAGTTATTCCCCGGTCTTCCTCTTCCTCTTTTGCTCTCAATCTTTCCTTCTACTATGCTCTTAAAAAATCGTCATATCGTATAAGGTGGCCCAGCTTTTTGCCTCTTCTATTCTCTATTGTTTTAAATTAATGTTCATTTCTCATTCACTCTTTTCAGGACTTGTTCTTTTATTAGTTTTTCTGTCAAACTACTGTAGAAATAATCACTGTAGAGTCCCAAGTGTCCTTTACTTTATTAAAGTATCAAATACTACAGTATTTTTTTTATACAACTTAGAATGGCAAACAAGCTGACGGTCCACCTGATGGAAAGTGATAACCGTCGCCTGTAGACATGAGCAGTACCATGGACATAACAGAGTATACTGTTTCGCCCATGATACCCCCCATGCGTTGCCATTTGATACTGTACAGTACTGTACACTACAGTATTGTCTTAAAATTATGAATGAACGAACATAACTTTACATTGACCACTGTCTTGAGAATTGGTGCCTTCATTTTCAATTAAATCAATCAGTAATGCAACATGATGAAAAAAAGAAGACTGCGTAACACGGTTGGTACTTATCGAAGGTTGTAGTTATTAGAAGCTAGTAGTTAAAATTTATATAGTTTAAATATATTGTATACTAAAATCGAAATAATTACTGTACTTTTGAGGGAGTGTTCTATCAGGAAATCTGAACATGTTTTTCAAATGAACATATCTCGAAAATTAACAAATTTTTTTAACACCTATACTAACTTGATAGTCAAAAACACCGTGTACTGATTATTAGAAAAAAAATATTTAATTTTCATTATTGGAACACCCCTTAAAAGAATAGTAATGAATTAGATATCATCCTGTATTAGTAAATGTAACACTACGAGGGTCTCTAGCATACTCATACGAAATATATTAGATATATTTAAAAGTTTTAACTTACTATAATATTTTGAGTTGGGCGATGCATTTAATTCTATTGACGTTTATAACAATAATTATACAATATGTAAAATAATTTGAAAGAATTGTTATTATATTATATATATATATATATATATATATATATATATATATATATATATATATATATATATATATATATATATATATATATATTGATAAATAATTACACAATTATAATAATAAATAATTTATAAACAAACTTTGCTCTTTGTAAAAGATCTGAAGGTAATTTTTTTAATTAAATACGACACTGGGATCGATTTCGAGGTGTCATATCTTTTCATTTGATAATATCGTAAAATTATTCTTCTATGGATGTAATTAATAGAGGCGTATTTTTTTTTTTACCACTGAGGTGGCAAAAATCATACGACCCATCTGATGGTAAGCGGTTACCGTGGCATGAATGCCTGCAATACCAGGGACATTACGTGCGCGTTGCCGACCCTAAAGAAAGTTTTTTAGCTCTTTTTTGAAGAACCCCATACTGTAGCCTTTTGGAAATACCTCTCTTATATTAACAATAAAGATTTTGCTGTGGTTTCAAATAAAAAAAAATAATGTTAGAGTTAAGTTTAGAGAAATGTCGCCTTAGAATCAACCCCATTAACTACTGCAGTGTCTCTGTGAGAATTATTAGGAAAAATTTTGCGTTAAGGGGCCCATCCAATAAAAATGCGTTGTCGCTGTTTTATTTGTTAAAACTTAATACTGTACATTAAACTTTAATGTACTATGTACTATGTGTATATACAAATCACAATTTTTCTACATTTAATATTAAAATTACGTTTTATTTTTCATTGATTATTAAGTTTGATATACAAAATGCAACGAAATAAAAAAGACTAGTTAAATACGTTGATAGCAATAAGACTACTATATGTGTCCAATAAGATTGATCGGATGATGTCATTTATTCGTATGGGTCCTTTAATTGCACATTTACCTATGCATTACATATATATTTTGTATCATAAATAAATAGTCTATCTAATAAATATGTACTTAATATTTTTATAATAATATATGGTTCTGTCAGATCATTAGTAATATAACATGCATATTTGTAAACATATGTTTAACTCATTTAGTATTTTTAACCGACTTCAAGGAGGTTATATTTTTTTCTATATTTATTACCTCATAACTGAGTTAGTTTTAAACCGATTCGGAAAATTCATTTTCATCTGAAACATTATAGATAGATCTAATAGTATTTTTATTAAAATAGTTCAGTATTTTAGTTTTTAAATCAACTAGTTTTGTCACAATTGAAGTTGGTTTTTTTTATTACAATCTTAAATTATTGTATTATGTAAATATTTTACTTACTTAAATTATTTTATGCACTACTAACTATTGAAAGATAAATATGGACTCCGCGCCTTACACTTCACAAGTGTTGCTATACTCAATAAATAATATTATAATTTAAAATTTTTATTCATAAAAGAAACCGACAAATTTGATATGGTATCAATACGGGAGTAATGTCCTTGTCGAATGAAAAAGAATCATTAAAATCGATTTACTTGAAGTAATAAGTGTCTTCGTGTAAGACTGTCGTTAACCTCGCATCTAGGAAGCTGTATGCTGGCTATTATTAACAATATATTTTTTTTTTTTATTAAAATTTTATATTTGTATGACAACGATCTTGTAGAGTAACCGTTTAAGACAGCGTCTCACCTTACAATAGTCGCCGATTTGATCCCATATAATACAAATATTTGTATCAAGGACTATGTCTTTTGGTATTGATCTGTGTTTTCAGTCTTAGTTAATATATATTTCTAATAAAAAATATGTCTGTCAATTGTCTAACGACCGCTTGGGTTAGATGGCGCTGTATGTTATTTGTGAAACGAAGTGCCGTACTGGGCTCTTAACCTATCGTTGACTCCACACTGGAGTCGATTCTGAAACGTCATTTCTATAAATTTAAATTAGATCTCACAGTGAAATCTTTATTGTAAGGACCAATATGAGCTAATGTTTTAATAGATTTGATACCAAAAACAACAATAATAATAATTATAGGTAAAAATAATGATAAAAAAAATGTGTATAAATTTTGCTGGTAATAGAAACCGCCTTAGCTGTTGCTATATATGTACACCTCCAACGAGCTGTACCTATATAGCGTTGATTTTCAGGCGCCCCTTAACTCATTTTCATATGATGGCCCATAAAACGATAATTTTGCGAAATTATTAAATTAAAATATATGTCAAGAGATAAATTTCGAGAAATAGCGCTTCAGAATCGACCCCAATGTCTTTTTTCTAGTCCATAGCGCCGTATTATTATTGTTCACAATATATAATTAAATATAAAAATATGATATACCGCCCCACTTATCGCACAATAACATTATCTCTTTCTCACTGAATGTTGTCCTTTTCTCTATCGACTTGCCAGTTCATTCACGATAGTTGAAATAAATGTTTCGATATAAAAAATTTGTATTATTTTCCTATCCACGAAGTAAAAACACTTTTCAGTGTGAAATAGTTTTTTTTTAATACTTTATAATTCACTGTTTTAGTTATTCTTTTATTTTCTAACTTATTATAATAAAAATTAAATAATAAATGGAACGGAAAGGAGAAGCCCATTCTATGCCACGGATAGCAACTTACTAGCTTAGTTTGCTATTAACATTTATTTTGATAATAATGAACCCCAATTTTTTAATACCACATGTGGCAAACAAGCATACAGCCCACCTTATGGTAAGCGGTTACCATAGCCTATGAACGCCTGCAATACCAGAGGTACGCGCGCGTTGCCGACCCTGAAGAGATCTCTTTACCCCCTTTTGAATAATCCCATGCTGTCGTCTCTTGGGAAAACCTCAGTTGGGAGCTCATTCCATAACCTGAGTGTTCATGGGAGAAAACATCTCTGAAACCGCGTTGTACGCGACCATTTAGGATGTAGGGTATGAGGGTGAACTCCCTGTCGATGGCGAGCCGTACGATGATAGAAAGTGGCTGTGGGCATCATATTGAATAATTCCTCTGAGCACAATCCGTTGCACAAGCGGTAGAACACGCAGAGTGAGGCAAAATCTCTCCTAAGATTTAAGGGTTCGATACCGCTTGTAAACCTGGGATCATCGACAATTCTCATAGTTCGTCATTGCACAGAGTCGAAGGGTTCAAGCTGGTGTTTAGGTGCTCCCGCCCATATGTGACAGCAATACTCCATGTGGGGCCGGATTTGCGATTTGTAGAGCATTAATCGCTGATCTTAATATATTACGTATTTAACCCTTGATTCTAACGATATATATTTTGGTATAAGCGTTATAAAGGTGTTTAATAAAAATATGGGTAAGGTGTAATTAAAAACCATTTAATTTGACATTCCGTTTATTTTTTAGAAGACATCGCTCTCATTCTATACATCATAAATCTAGATTAACAGCACGATCAGAGCTATATTACACTAGCGATTAGCGAACACGTTCGGAGCAAGACAATCCATTAGCATTTAGTTTTATAATAATCCTCGTCATGTCTATATATATAACGGGAAATTAATGAACTCACCGTGTTTACCGTTTCCGACAATTGTTTCGATTCAGAACCGTAGCTAGACCCATGTTTAAGGTAGGGCATTGGGTCTTTCAAGGTAGATTACTGCCCATCTATGTCCCCACTCCCTCTTAGCTACGGCCATGTTTCGACTGCATCTTTAAGTCTTCTTCAGGGGCGTTTAGCGCTTTGCGTCACAGATGCTCGTCGCGCACTGTGTGCCGCAGCTCGCAGAGCCCGTGAAGATATGGGGGGTGAGGGGGGGGGGGGGATAAAGATGACACAAGATAATGGTGTTGTCGAAAATGACTGTGAAGGACTCTCGTTTTCGCTTCTGGTGTCTTTTGAGTTCACGAATATCCCGTTATATATGTATATAGATGGCATATAAAAATGATCATAAGTTTTAAAAATAATATTCTTTGTCATATCTCGGCAAACTACACGCCTGCGATAGCTCGTAAACAGGTTCAATAATCGCACGTGTAATATGGCCCTAAATATATTTATACACAGAGGAAGGCACTTCTAAGGAGTGATGTAACATAAAAATTTAATAAAATACAATTACAGATTATAAATTAGACATTATTCGAGCAATATAATACTTAGAAGATCACGTGATTATTAGTACTTTTAGTACCATACGAATCTTATATAGTATGAGGGTGAGGTGAAAAGTTTTCAGGCTGACAGTGAAAGACTGCGATTTTAAGTAAAAAAAAATATTTTTATTTTTTTACATAATCTCCTTTGACTTCAAACACACTTGAACCAGCGTTTCTCTAACATCAGTATTCCTTTCCGGGAGTGAGAGTCTGGAAGGTTATGACAATATTAATTTACGACCCTCTCAACTTCTTTGTCGGACATAAACCGCTTCCCAGAAACAAAAAATTAGAATAGGGGAGATGACCGAGCAAATCGTATCCCTTACATCCATCATACAGATTTTATGTATCGCACGATATTCAAATTTATCCACTTTAACGAAAAACATGCACGACGTTTGCTGCAAAAATTCGTGTTAATAAACTATTTTAGAAAATAAGTTTAAAAATTAATGACAAGGCAAGAAAAATAAATTTTTGTCGATTAGAACGCCATCTCTGTGTCAGGCCGAGAACTTTTCATTTTACCCTCGTATGTATAGTTAATTAATACTTGTTTATGACTATTATACATTTACTAGTTTTCCAAGGTGTGCAAGAGACGTGTACAATTCGGGTCCTTAGACACAATTTAAGAAAGTTTCATACAGTTTATTCAAGCGAACTGTGTTTCTCTTAAAGCGTAGTATGATTGGGCCTTTTTTTGTCTGTGGTAAATATTCTTATATATATATATATATATATATTTTTTTTTCAAATTATAATAAAAGATAATAGTTGTGGGATTTCTATTATTAATACAGAAATTTTATATTGACAGAAATATTGTACAATGACCCAAAATGGAAATATTTTTAACACAAAATCAGTTTGATATGTAAAGAGACTGTATAGAGGGGTTGCAACCACTCGAGTAAGGACTTCTGTTTGTCAAAATTCTCTTATTTGTATTATCTGTGCATTGGAAGACGGTACTCAGCTAACAGTACTTTTAAAGCGTTTGTGGAGTAAGTAAACTTCATTACTCGTGGTCTCACCGCTCTGATATAGCAAACAACTTGTCAATTCAATTTGGACTTTAACTTGTATGCTTTTGTATACATTATACAATAAAATGTTATAAGAGACACTTTGGAAATAAAACAAGCGTGGACCAAGTCAATATATAACTATTATATAAGTTACTTTGCTTTTTCATTATTAGTTTTAAAAAAAAAATCTGAAAACATACATACCAGAGGGAGACTGTACAAAAGTCGATTGCTTGGGTACCTCTGTCCCATTCGTGCTTCAACCGTGAAGCAGTTTTGTTTGCATGACTGTGTTTCGGTTTGAAGGGTGGGATATGGCGTGAATTTACAGGGTACAGAGGAATAAAACCTGAGTCCTCAGGAATGGCAACGCATGGGGGGTATCATGGGTGAAATGTCCATGGTACTGCTCATGTCTATAGGAGACGGTTACCACTTTCCATCAGGTGGGCCGTCAGCTTGTTTGCCATTCTAAGTTGTATAAAACGAACAAAACAAACACATTTGTGTCAATAAATTACTTAGTAATTTAATTTTCCCAATAACCCGCGTATTTTTCTTAATTCTTTTGCATAGTGTACGATGCCCGAGAATAAATTATCTCTGCTCTGGCTCGAACTACATTTGACATTTGGTACGATTGCAAAAGCTTGGTTACTGAAACGTCATTAATAAAAATTGTGAAAAATAAAACCTTAATTATTTTAGACATGCAATCAATTCAAATTGAACATCATACATAAATACATAAAGTGCTCAATAATACTCAATAATAATCATTATTGTAAAATTTATAAATCACAAACGTCATTATTATTTGTATAGAAATTTTAAAATACATAGAGATACGCCCCAGAAATATGACGATAACAAAATACATACTTGTAAAGTTCACTGGGTATTGCCAATATTTGGCGTTGATATTTGTATTATAAAACTAAATCTAAGATTAATTTTCTAAACCTAAAATTTTAATTTCGTGAAATCACTGTTTCGAACACCATTAACTGTTTTTATTATAAAAGTTCATAAATACAATAAAGAAAGTGGTGTTTTTTTTTTTTTCATTTCAATTCTTGTCGGTGCAACTAATTCATGCATCTTCTTTTCTATAAACCTTATACGACATGACAAGTGTTTCTTTTATCTGTCTCATATAGTTATTCCTCGGTCTTCCTCTTCCTCTTTTACCTTCTATTTTTCCTTCTACAATGCTCTTAAAAAAATCGTCATGTCGTATAAGGTGTAAGGTGTCGTATAAGGTATAAGGTTGCGGTGGTATAGAATTAATATTTTAATTTTAAAAAAGATTTAGTGAATAGTGTCACAGAATTGACTCGAATATAAAAATTGTCCAAATGGCGGCGTGTATTTACATACAAAATTTTGCCCAATAAGGTTTTGGTTTGAGCACTTACGCTTAATTAAGCGTATCTATTTTTTCTGATTTTTAAAAACTAATAAAATGCATAATTTATTCATTGTATTAACATAATAATTAATTAAAAAATATGCTCAATCGATTAATCGAGTAGGTGTTACAAATAGTTAAAAGCATTATCTTGTTGCTTCTAGAGCAAATAAAATCGAGCTTGAGCAGTTTCTTTTAATAAAATTAATTTTTTCATTAAACGTTTGTTTTAATAATAGAACAAAAAAAAAAAAATGCAAACTGTAGAAAAGCGAGACTTTGTACAAAAGTCGTTTGCTTGAGTACCGCTGTCCCATTCGTGTTTCAAGCGTGAAGCAGCGTTAGCATAGCGTTGGTCGATCAAGTTACTACTGATTAAGTTAGCAGACCATTTATAGAAAACACAAATACAAAGACAGAAAAAATACTAGCAAAAATAAAACAATTATTCATAACATTAAGCAAAAAAATAAACATACATAAATATATATAAAAAAAATGTCGATACAGTCAAATGTAATAATATGTAACACTTGTTATTTGCCGCTTTAACTATTTATTCTATTATTTAAAATTATCATTCGTTCTATTTGTTGTTAGAGTGAAAATAAATAAATTAATGACGTTAAAAGTATAATACAATATCACTGGAATAAGATATTAAATTTATTTCTAGCAATAAATATTTTTCTATTAATATTTTGAATTGTTTACAAATGATTGTAAGTGACTGTAACACTTAATCAAGTCGATTTTGAGTTTTATTGATGTTCAAGTTAGTCAACCATACATTTTTTTTTTCTAAAATTTATACATATTAATATTTGACTCTGAGAAAGAACTATTCCTCTTCCTTCTTTGTACCGCATGCATATATATTTTAATCAATTTAATTTAAAAACTAACTAAATACAGAACTTACAGTAATTTAAAGAGAATACATTGATTAAATACGGTTTAATAAGTGTTTTACCGGTTTTTTTACACTGCACGTGTAAAAAACCGGTAAACACTGATTAAACTGTATTTAATCAGTATTTTTTCTGTGCAGTGAATATCGGTAATCCGTACAAATTATTTTATTAATAGTTAATATATAATATATATAAATAATTTTTAAGGTTACTGAACACCTAAAAAACGCTACATCAGAAGCGACTCGACTAATAATATAAAAATAAAAATATAATTTATTGAATTAATGAATTAATATTTATTTGCAAGAAACATGATATAAAATATATATGATAGATAATAAAATAGGTATAAATCCACATATTTAGCTATAGTTAGGCATATAAAATTTAAAATACATAAATATTGATTGAATTAAGTTTTTAAACAAATGTTAACAATTCTTATAATGTATACATACATATGTGTATATCAAATACGACTTCTTGTCAATTAATATACTGAATTTAATTTGATATTATAGGTACGTATAATAACGTATTAGTAAGTCTGATTAGCGTCAACGATATTCTAATATTAATACTTATACAAAGTCAATTTATTAATTGGTTTTTAAAATAATTTTTAATTGATAATTCTTTGAAGTGCTGGGAAATATAACATAGCAATTATTTTAAAATAGAGAAATTTTCACATTTCTTTAAAACTATTTTATTTATTAATACAATAATTATTCATAAAACATTTATAAATACTAAAAACTAGACTTCAGAGTGAAGACTAATGGAACTTGTACTAAAAATAGAGGACTACATTTTTTATAACATATCAATAAATGCTTCTAAACGTTTCCAGCACATTTGGCAGTACTCAAATTAATAATATATAATTAAAAATTAATTAATACTTCTATTAAGGTAACAACGTTACATACATTTTAATACAGCTCTCTGTGGAACATGACTAAGGCCAACTCACATGTATAAATTAATTTTTGAATAAAAGATGCTAAAGTATGTATTAAAAAATAAATTGTATTAGGTTTGGAACACCTTTATTAAAATTATATTTATATTTAAATGGGATACATTATTCACTTTTTATATTTAATTTCACTAAATACTACTCTTAATAATTAATATTAACATAAAATATTGTATCTGTAAAGTTATAGTACATTACTGCAGCGACCAGCAACTGAGGCATTGATGGACGAACGTACAAATGTGGGCCGAAGCGAAGCCGAGGCACACATACGCGAGTCCATCAATGCCTAGTTGTGGCCAAGGCTTGTATAGTACTTTTCTCAAATAAAATCAAAAACACAATTTTACTTTTTAAATTCAATGACGAATAACGAACAATTATAATTTTTCACGCGCCATAATGTTCCTTTGTTTTTTTTTTCAATAAACAGCTTTCTATTTTCAAGCCAGTTCGAAATTTAAATAAAACCTTGTATTAGTTACCTCCTTGGTAGCCATGTTTCGAAGTAAAAGGTCATTCCATTTTTAAATTACAGTACAGATATGAGTTTACATAATAATTTATCTAGCCGCAAAACACGACAGATATGGATTTTCATACAACTTTTGCCGGCCGCTGCCCGCATGTACCTTGGCCAGTACGGCAATTTTTTATTTATCTCGAAGATTGTCAAAATAATGCTTACATTACCAAGCATGTTTGAGAAAAAATATATTAAAGGTCCAGTTTAATTCCAGTAAAGTAAAAAAAAAGTAATTAAAAAGACGATAGCTGAATGCAAGTTACCTTAGTCATAGTACCCATTAATGGCACCAATTTATTGTGCCGAGCCAAATACACAAACATCCCGACTCATACTAGGAGATACCCTGTCTGTGGGCAACCGAACAAATATGGCGGCACAACCCAGAACACAGAAGAGCCAGTTTAGAATACTATTTCCTAAATTGGCTCGACTGGGATTCAAACCTGGATCAGTTGCGCGTAGCGACGAGCCGAGCCACTGCACAGGCCTCCAGATATACGACTGGACTACAGTTTCGACGATGGTACCACTTCCCGCCACCACGGCGCCCGCTCAAACACACCGGGGTTGTTGAAAAATGCTTTCTGCATGTTTTGGTACAGCTGTGGAGTGAAAAATTCAATCTATTAATTAAAAATAATTAAATCGGCGTATTAATAGAAATGAGAAGATGTTTGGTACACGATTATACTACAGAGATCATCATATCAGCTTTTAACTGTCCACTGATGAACATAAGTCTCCCCTTGGGGGGTTTTGCCAATAGTTGTCACGCTTGGAAGGCGAATTGGCAACCGCAGTCAGGTTTTAGAGATGTTTTAAGCACGCTGCTGCCCATCTTTCGCCTTCCCTTAGCGATTCTTACGGCACTCAGGGGAAAGGAAGGGGAGGCCTATTGTATGCCGGGACCACACGGCCAACACCTCACCACCATAGAGATATTTTGTATAAAAGATTTGTGTGTTCAAGCAATGTGCTAGCATGGCTGTATTTCAGTTTGAAGTGTAGAATATGGCAGTAGAATTAAGTTGTTAACTTTAGCTCTCAGAAATGACCATGTCTGAGTGGTACCATCGCTCTTAACCGCGTTAGGTTTTGGTGAGTTTTAAGAGTCATGCTGCTGCCCATTTTTCGACCATTAAATTCCCTGTATCGCCTCTTACGACACCCACGAGAAAAGAAGGGGTGGTCCATTCTATGCCAGGACCTCGCAGCACAATATAAAACATTGTCTTTGTAAATTACTAACTGTGCCTCGTGTTTAACGAGGCATTTTATCCTAATTCACCCAAATTCATAAGATATAGAAAAATAATACTAAGTTACTCTTTCACACAAAAACTTCTATACATATTTAAATGAAATTTTGTGCAGAAATATGTTACATCCTAATTTAACATATAACAAACCTGAGAGAAACAATTAGTAACTAAAATCTACTCACATTCCCATCGCTCTTTCCTAAAACGGAATTCAATACGAAGTCAGTGGGGGCCAAAGCATCGACCACCGTTACCACTTCGCCCTTCAGGTCTCCACATAACTCCAGGACAGCCGACCGCAGGAGGCGAGCCAACGCCTCTCCAGACCCAAAACCGCCCTGGTACAACTCCACCAAGTGTTTATCCAACGACCATAGGCCATACAGGGTGAACAGCTTGTACAAAACGGGCTGCAGTTCCCGCTCTTTTTTCTCTATGGATTCTAAACTGAATATAATTACTAAGTACTCGGCGTACACCCTCGTTAGTGTCTTCCACCTGTACACTTGTGACTTAGTTTTCGCTTGGAACTTTGATAGGCCTTTGGACATTTCCGATTCATATTTTTCCTGGGTCTCCTTTAGAAGCCAGCATAGAAGCCACTTGTATGTGGATGTTATGACTGAAAGAAGTATATATAGATAGATAGATAGATAGATACACTTTATTGTTTCCTCTAAAAGATTACAATAGTAAACTTATTACAAATATAAATAATTACAAGAAATAATCACAATGAGAAAACAATGGGCGACCTTATCGCTAAAAGCGATCTCTTCCAGGCACATTTGGATGGAGAGCAGTAATATATATTATATATATATATATATATATATATATATATATATATATATATATATATATATATATATATATATATATATATATATATATATATATATATATATATATATACTATGCTGCACACACATCAACTTATGTTTTTGTATATACAAGGTATAAGGGATAGGTTGGCAACAATTGAAACAGTGAGTTCCGATCATTATTCTATACTGGAAACCAGTGAAAATTCTTTTCAGAAAATTTCCATTTTTTCCTCTATATTTTTTTCCTAATAATAGAAATAGAATAAAGAATAAAAGAAACACTAAAAAACAATAATATTCGTACTAAAATCCTACCGTGATGCGCGGAATCAGCTGAGTCAGGTCAATGCCACAAGCGTACGAAACTACCTACGAAAAAGCGCTATTGAGCGCGCCTTGTATGTACACGCGTCACGTCGATTGTAAAATTTCAAATACATTGCGCGGCGTCAAAACTAAGAATCGTTTATATGGCTGTAGTGCAGTTCTGGTGGGGAAATAATCTGACATCTGGTTCAGTCCATTAATCTGAATCAGCTGTTTTCGTTTTGGCCAACCAGTCGCTCCTACCCTGTATTGGGGGGAAAGGGATTGTTAGCAATGGAGTTTGACAGCCCCATTGCAAGCAATATGCCCTATTAGGTCGACCTCTACGTGGTTCCCCCTGGAAACCATCGTAAACAATTCTTGTTGAATTCGTCACGATGGGCTAACTGACCTGCTTCATCCTCACCTATTATCATCCTTCACTGGTGCCCCGCCGGTGTATACCGATAGCGCGGGTGGGGTTACCAGTACATGGTTACCAGGGGGAGACTTTGTACAAAAGTCGATTGCTTGGGTACCTCTGTCCCCATTCGTGTTTCAACCGTGAAACAGTTGTGTTTGCATGGCTGTGTTTCGGTTTGAAGGGTGGGATATGGCGTGAATTTACTGGGTACGGAGGAATAACACCAGAGTCCTCAGGAATGGCAACGCATGGGGGGTATCATGGGCGAAACAGTATACTCTGTTATGTCCATGGTACTGCTCATGTCTATAGGCGACGGTTACCACTTTCCATCAGGTGGGCCGTCAGCTTGTTTGCCATTCTAAGTTGTATAAAAAAAAAAAAATTATCACCCATTAAAAACCTACCCTGTATTTGGAGACTCTTTGCATATCACATAATGCATAATTTTTTTATGACATAAAACTTTAAAAAAGAAATAAGCACCTATACTAACTTTTTAAACATTCATGCCTACAAAACACAAGACGAAGGCATTAAAATCGTGACACTCACATTGGGGAGTCTTCAGCTGATCGGTGGTGGTACACCGGAACGTGTCTGCCAGCCAACGGTGTCCGTCCGCCAGAAAGCCGACAGTCCCTAGCGGCGAGTCGACGGCGTTGCCTTGCCGGGCAGCCGTGTACTGTCGAAGCAACCAGTTGCCCGCCTGCTGAGACAGCACGCTGTTGTCCCCCTCGTACGTCACTGTTGCCTCGTGGTGGCTACGAAGGTCGCCTAGGTTTGCACACTGCAAGAAGCAACAGTAAGCTTTGTAAAATAACTAGCTTTTACCCGCGCCTTCGTCCGCATGACCAGGACAAGTTCTCTGAGTAGGATAAAATTTAGCCAGTATCCTTCTCCATCCAATATAGTACGTATGTGCCAAATTTAACAGTAATTATTTAAGCGGTTAACAAACACACTCTCAAATTTATAATATTAATAAGATTTTTTATTTTTTTATTTAAGAGTGTCATTCTCTTCCAGCCAGCTCTATTCCAGGCCACATCTTTGACCTCCCTATATGATATGACACCTAATGTCTCCTTCATCTGTCCCATGTAGTTATTTCTAGGTCTTCCTTTCCTCTTATGCTCTATTTTTCCTTTTAGAATGCTCTTTAAAAAATAGTCACGTCGTATAAGGTGGGTCCAACATTTTGGCTCTTCTATTCTCTATTATTATTATTGATATTCTTTTCTCAAAATAATCTGCAGAGAGGTCAATTCTGTACATGAAATATATTTCCAAAATAACTATCAGGGGGTGATTAGTGATCGATACTGATGCCAAAAATGCAATCAGTAAAATTTTTGTCTGTCTGTCTGTATGTTATACAAGATCCACAGTGCAAATAAAGTATGTAACAAGATAAGGAACGGAGTCATTTGACACATTTACATCCTTGTTAATGTTTTAAACAAACATTGTTGTTTATCGAGTCGTATTGGATAAGGTTTATTAATGATTATTTGCGACTTACGAGTCATTCTGTTTTTACACGACTTCCAAACGGTGATTGACAGTTCGACTGATTTTTTTTTTGCGACTATGTGTTAGAAATGCATAACAAAATGATACAAACAGCAGAACAGAATCGTACTTATGCCAAAGACGAAGAAAATAAAAAAATGGCCTTATGTCTAATAAAATTACAAATACCGTTGCACCTTCAAAAGCCATATTATCATTAAAAAAAAGATATCATGATTATCAACATCATCATATCAGTGTTAACTGTCCATTGATGAACATAGGCCTCCCCATAAAGGGAGGAGATTGCCAATAGTTGCCAGGCTTAACAGCAGGCGGGTTGTCAACCGCAGTTAGGTTTTGGTGATGTTTTAAGAAGGATTCTGCTGTCCATCTCTCGACCAGCTCTCTCTCTCTCTCATCTCTCTATCTCTCGTCAGCTTGTTTGCCATTCTAAGTTGTTTTAAAAAAACCATTAAGCTCCTTTAGACGCCTATAATATAGATAACTATAATATAAATATACTATATTTATTATAAATAAAATAAGGTTATAATTATTGACTTATTAAGGTCTTATAAGAATAAAGATAATGTTTTAACTTAACTTTCTTTGTAGTAAGACTATCTAACATTTTAAACTTTTTCACATAACATAAAAAGATACCGACCTTGAGGTAGCCGTGGCCCCCGCAGGCCTCCCGGCACTGCTGCGCCGCCTCCAGCACGGTCCACGTGAGCAGCGGCTTCGAGCTGGACACCATCGCGTGGATCTCTGAAACCGCCTCACTCTGTCACCAGAACGGGCCGCTGGTCAGTCCACTTGTATACATTTTTTATGGGTGGAATGATAACCCCACCCGCGCTATCGGTATACACCGGCGGGGCATCAGTGAAGGATAATAGGTGAGGATGAAGCAGGTCAGTTAGCCCATCGTGACGAATTCAACAAGAATTGTTTACGATGGTTTCCAGGGGGTACCACGTGGAGGTCAACCTGATAGGGTATATTGCTAGCAATGGGTCTGTTAGACTCCATTACTAACAATCCCTTCCCCCCTGTATACTAAGCTAACTAACTACTGATACGGGGGGGGGGGAGGGAAGGGATCGTTAGTAATGCGGGCTACCAGTCTTATTGCTAGCAATATACCCTATCAGTGCACCCTTCACGCGGTTCCCCCTGCAAACCATCGTGCTGAATTACTGATAAATTCATCACGATTGGCTAACTGACCTGCCTTTTCATTCTCACCTATCATCCCTCACTGGTGTCATATACCGTTAGCGGGAGCGGGGTTATCATTCCATTATCATCCATTACAAAAAAAAAAAATGTCCATACCACTGGTAATTTGATAAGAATTATTTCGTTCAATTCCGCTACCATTAGTATGTATGTGACTGCCAACACTGGAAGATTGGCCACTATTACTACTAGAAGTTCCACGACCTTCCATATCAGCCATCAATCTCCGACCACCATTTGTTTATTGCGAATGCAATGCAACTGCGATTTTGCAATTGGGTGCCCAAACGTTAACACTAGATTCCGAGCAGCGACCTAAAAATTTGCCTGATGATACTTCGTTAGAGGTGAAACATGTGTCGCAAAACGTGCGTGGTCAGAATAGCGGTTGGAGATAGATGGATTCTTTACATAGTACAATGTCAGCCAAAGTATATAAATAATATAACCCATAATATAAAAAAAAATTGCCTCTAAAAACTAACAGAAAATACTACTTTATCTTTCTGTCTATTTGTGCAAATTAGAGGCGGATTCCTCGTTGATCATAAAATCATCGCGTTCCTTTTTAGTCACTTATATAGCCAGCAAATCTAAAGTTCCTTGAACACAAGCACTCCAAATATCCTAGTGGCTCACCAAGTTATCAACTTTGAGGCCCGCGTTGGACTTCTCCACGATGTTCAGGTAGACCCTGGTGAAGCTCTCGATGTATATACGGAACACGACCGCCGTGGCCACGTACCCGAACAAGCGCCATTGCTGAAATATTCAAAGCAGTGGTGAATTAAATATGAAACATTTTATATAATATTTATTTATGTACACAGCACAGGCCTTAGGAGGTAGACAGCTGCACTTGACAATCAGTTACATATGCGGTTGCAGTAATATGTAGCAATACTAATATATTATGGTTATAATATCTATATATTCAGGTCGACCTCCACGCGGTTCCCCCTGGAAACCATCGTGACTAATTTATCTTTGAATTCATCGCAATGGACTAACTGACCTGTCTATTCATCCTGACCTATCATCCCCTACCGGTGTCCCGCCAGTGTATACCGATAGCGCAGGCGGAGTTACCATTCCATTATCATGCCAATGGCGAGGCGAAAAAAAAAAACACCCACTTAGGTGTTGTAAAAAGAAGACGTATTGCCCTGCCTTTTTTCATTCTCATCTATCATCCCTTACTGGTGCCCCGCCAACATATACTGTTAGCGCAGGCGGAGTTACCATTCCATTATCATCCAATAAAAAAAAAACACCCACGGAAAAAGAAGACGTGTCCCATTCTATACTGAGACTACACGGTGGAATGTAGGAATGTCATATATTAAGATGGAATCAAACCAAATAATTTCAAGCTAAGCACAGCCTATATAGCACGGCCGCGGACGGTACGTTATCTCTTACAGAACAAGCAACTAACATGCAGCTCGTACTCGATCAGTGGTATCTCGCGGTCGCGCTCCCCGAACTGGCTTCGTGTCGCCGCGTACCGCACCGCTATCGCCACCGCGCTGGATATCGTGTGGCAGCTCTCTTGCATTATGCCGATCCGACCTGCAAAGTGCAGAGAAACGATTAAGGTAATACATAAACACCTCACTAGATGGCGCTGTACGATATGGTCATATGATCATAACCGTCAGCGCCATCTAGTAGTAGATTACACAAAGTTTTTATTTTTTCCAATATAAGTGAAAAATTGATTATTTTATTTATAAAATAGAATAGTAAATATTTATTGTAGAAGAATTACCCGCAGATAGATTCTCCAGCGCAGCGCCCAATATCCTGGACGGTTCAGAGAAGGAGCTCTCGTAGACACCGTCCTCTGTCACGTCCGCTGTTCTGTTCAGAAGATTGTCACGCGGTATCCGGTACTGATTGAACATTATGAACCTGCAAATAATGATACAATATTTTAAAAAGATCCGTATCAATGTTGTGCTCGCGTTGTAACTTGTAAATCCTATTATTTTTCTAGTTTTTTTTTTAATTGGCTATTTTTTATTTGTCTCAACTAATTCACAATGTTCTGACAATGACAGGACAGGCAGAATAGTTTTTATAGTTATTATTAAATATATGAAACACTAAGTAACTGAGAAGCGTCCATATGTAATCTTTTATTTTTAATTAGTGTTGCCATCTACAATTGCAATGTACAACTAAATGAGATAGGGATACCATATATGTAACACACGATTTCTATCGAACATTCAAAGGTTGACTGGAAGATATCCCTTTTACGGAATAAGTCCGCCATTGTATTTTTTTTTTAACTCTATACCCTATAAGACTTTAATGTACAACAAAGTGTTACAAACAAACAAACAATAAAACTGCTGTGTAATTCCAACATAGAATAGGCCACCCGTTCCTTTCTCGTAGGTATTGTATCCACGGGAAAGGAAGGGATGGCCTATTCTATGCCGGGACCATACAAACACTTATATGTATATATTTGAAGACCTTTGCATTTTAAAAAAAAATTACAGATACAAACAATGCATACATTTTTTATACCACGAAGGTGGCAAACTAGCACACAGCCCGTGTGATGGAAACGATCACTGTAGCCTATGGGCGTCTGCAACACTAGAGGTATCACGTGCACGTTGGCGATTCTGAAGAAACCTTAATATAACTTTTTTGAAGAACCCCACACTGTAGTACCAGAGGGAGACTTTGTAAAAAAGTCAAAGTCGTGTTTCGGTTTGAAGGGTGGGATATGGCGTGAATTTACTGGGTACAGAGGAATAACACTTGAGTCCTCAGGAATGGCAACGCTTGGGGGGTATCATGAGCGAAACAGTATACTCTGTTATGTCCATGGTACTGCTCATGTCTATAGGCGACGGTTAGCACTTTCCATCAGGTGGGCCGTCAGCTTGTTTGTCACCCGTCACCAATTGTGGCTCCTTCACGCTCCACTGTCATTTTATTTTCCATTAATACTTTAAAAACTGTATCTACGTATAATATCAATCATTTGTATCATAAGTATGTCTGTTTATATATATATATATATATATATATATATATATATATATATATATATAAAGCGAGATTGCCGCTACCTTTAAAACATCAATGATCATGGAATCGATATCCGTACAATACAATCATTTGTATTCATAAGTATGTCTGTTATATATATATATATATATATATATATATATATATATATATATATATATATATATATATATATATAATGCGAGAGTTTGTAATGATGGATGGATGAATATTTGTTATTTTTTTACGCAAAAAAAACATCAAAAAATCTACACGGGTAGCTTATATGCCAACCCGCCTGCCTGATTCAGCGTGGCAACTATGCAACAGTATGTATATTTTTTTTATTTATAATTATTTAAGCCTATGTCCAACAGTGGACAGTTAATCTAAACTGAGTTCGAAAAAGACATCACGTAATTAATGGATATTATTTATAAGTGTTTTCCTTCAATTGACGTCGATCTAACTAGCGATATTGCGTTAGATTGAATTACCAGGTAGTAAGAATTATTGGTCCGTGTGGTCCCGGCATAGAATAGGCCACCCCTTCCTTTCCCGTGGGTGTTTTAAGAGGCGACTTAAGGGACTTAATGGTAGAGAAATGGCCAGCAGCGTCTGTCTTGAAACATCTTTCATCAAAAGAATCTGCGGTTACCAACTTACGAGTTACCGGTTGGAATGATGATGATGATGAAGGATTATTAGCGTTACTAATATTGATTTATTGGGAGAAGGGATTGTTAGTAATATGGTCTCATTGCTAGCAATATACCCTAACAGATCGACCTCCACGCGGTTTCCCCTGGAAACCATCATATTTATTTTTTGTGGAATTCGTCACGATGGGCTAACTGACCTGCGTTCATCCTCACCTATTAACACTAACTGGTGCCAAAACAGCGTATACCGTTAGCGCAGATGGGGTTACGATTCCATTATCATCTACAAAAAAATATTTGTTTATTTAACTAACGCTTTAACAGCTTAAACAACACTATGAAATTTATACACTATATAAGATAAATAAGGATGTATGCTACATTTAATCCCGTCCAGTAACAATATCCCGGTCACGCGAACGAAGTCGCGGGCTAAAGCTAGTGCAGTAATACATGCAAGTCATACTTGGATAACGTTATCATTATTATTATTATTATTATTGAACGACGGGCTTTTTCAGACAGAATAACCTATGACACTGCGACCTTTTCGTGATTTTTTACGCTCGCACTTTTTTAACCGTTTGACTGCCGACGAGCGCCATAGCGCTCGTGATTTCAGGCCCTCTACACAAGTGGCAAGCGAATTCGTCGATGGAATCGACATCACTAGCGAGCCCGTGAGTTGGAATGAGACATGCGGCGTTGCTATCTTATTCTATCTCACGGACTAGCTAGCGATATCAATTCCATCCACGAATTCGCTTGCCACTTGTGTAGAGGGCCAGTTGTTGTTTAGCTCGCTATAGAAAAATTATTAAAATTGAATATTTTTTGCAGGAAATACAAGCATTTTTAAGTAGATATGAGTAAAGTAAAAATAAATGGCACTAAAACGATTAAAGTTCGCTGCTAACTCCTATCAGTGACAGGAATATAAAACGTTATTATTTGTCATACAGTATCAATAGGCATACATAATACCAGATGGCTCAACAAAATTCCACCATACACGAGATATCAGATTACGCACTCGAAACTGAGTATTATTGATAAATATAATTTAGAATTGCTTTCCACATAAAAAAAACTGGCTTCGATTGTCGTTGTGATCGTATTACAGTACAGAAGTCGTTTGCTTGGGTACCTCTGTACCATTCGTGTTTCTACCGTGAAGGAGTTGTGTTTGCATAGCTGTGTTTCGGTTTGAAAGGTGGGATATGGCATAGAATTTACAGGGTACAGAGAAATAACTGAGTCCTCAGGAATGGCAACGCATGGGAGATATTATGGGCGAAACAGTATACTTTGTTATGTCCATGGTACTGCTCATGTCTATAGGCGACGGTTACCACTTTCCATCAGCTGGGTTTGTCAGCTTGTTTGCCAATCCAAGTTGTATAAAAAATAGTTAGTTATTTTTATCAATTATTATGCAACTATACTTATTTAGTTACCGTTGATAAGCGGAAATGTTATAAAATAAAATTAATACTTGACCAGCCCACACTTGGATATTTATAACTTCATATGTAATTTATAATAACCGGTTATTTTGATAATGCGCTGGATTTATAAATAGACGCCTGGCGAACTATCATCTTTTTTATACCACTGCGGTGGCAAACAAGCATACAACCCACCTGAAGATAAGCGGTTACCGTAGCCTATGAACGCCTGCAATACCAGAGGTATTACGCGCGCGTTGCCGACCCTGAAGAAACCTCCCTTGTTGCTGGCAACTTGACCAGCTGGCCTTTTTTATTATAATTGTTTTATTATATTCATTATTTTATATTTTTACAAGATTTCGCCCGTAACTTCGCTCGCGTTTGGTATTGGACTTCTTTTTTATTGGATTTCTTTCAGGTTTTAAACCATTTTAAACAACTAAATAGATTTAAATAGGTTATAACCTAACTTAACACATAGGATACTTCAAGGAAATTGTAATATGAGGGAAGGAATTGCTAGTAATGCGGACTACCTGTCCCATTGCTAACAATATAACTTGTCAGGTCGACTTTCACCTGAAAACCATCATGCTGAATTCTAGGTGTATTTTTTTTGATGGGTGAAAATGGTATGGTAACCCCGTCTGCGCTAACGGGATATGCTGGTGAAGCACTAGTAAAGAGTGATAGATGAGAATGAAAACAGGTCAGTTAGCCCATCATGATGAATTCATCAGGAATTAACCATGATAGTTTCCAGGGAGAACCGCGAGGAGGTCGACCTGGTTGGGTATATTGCTAGCAATGGGATTCTCAGTCTCTATTACTAACAATCCCTTTCCAACCAATCTCCTTTCAATCTTCCAATCTTTTCATTATCATCTGTCATCCCTAACTGGTGCCCCGCCAGCGCGTACCGTTACAACAGGCGAGGTTATCATTCCATTATCATTTATAAAAAAAAAAGTCTGTAATATGTACTCGAAGGTATAGTAATATTGCATATAAAAACATAAAGTACTAAAGTATTAGGCAAACATTATAAACACTTCGGAACCATCAAAGTATACTATTCAAGAATTTCAAGATACAGTTATCTGATAAACGGATCGCTTCGCTATATATAAAATGATAAATACTTGATATATCTATTTGCCTATTTCCCCTCTGAAATATTTAAACGTTGCAATATTTTTTTATAACTGTCCACTGCTGAACATAAGCCTTTCCCATATGTGGAGTTTTGCCAGTAGTTGCCACGCTTGGTAAGCAGGTTGGCAAACGCAGTTAGGTTTTGGTGCAACTTGCAATTGTACACTGCTTAACATAATCCTTTTTCAAAAGGGGAGTTTTGCCGGTAGTTGCCACGCTTGGCATCCGGATTGGAAAGCTTTGGTGACTTTTTAAAAGAGACGCTGCTGCCCGTCCTTCTACCACTAAATTTTTCGACTTAAATAATCGCTTCTACGACACCGATGGGAATAGAAAGGGTGGCCTATTCTATGGCAGGAGTACACGGCGGCGGCGATATCTATACATATATTACATAATATTTAGTTCTATACTTGATGGGATTAGCAAACAAGTTGACGGAAAACGATAAGCGCCACTTATAGACTTTGCCCTGCACTTACACTTTGGTCATCCCAGAGTATACTGCGATAACCATGACAGGTATTAGTCACTGTTGAATTCATAAATTATTTGTCACCTATCCGGCTCGAAGGACCAGTCATTAATAAAAACGATTAATAGAATTACAACCTACTATAAAACTGAGAGATAATCGTCACCTATCTATAGACATGAACACAACGAACGGATTACGTAATGTTTACGCAGTGCTATTCCTGAACCAAATTAAATAGTCCAAAACATTTGCTATAAAACTCACCCATTATCGATCCCATTGACGCCGATCTTCTCTCCCATGTCACCAACTATGAGTCCTGGATACGTCTCCAAGGTGTCGGGGTTCCGTATGGGCACTACGAAGCCGTGTAACCCATGGTTTGTGCCGTCTGGCGTGATCAGCTGCGCGAACAGCAGCGTATGGGTGCATGTTCTACCTGAAAACAAGACAATAGTGACGTAACAAAATGGTGGTACGACCAGGCGTGGATCCAGCCCTAGAAAAAGGTTGTGGTCATAGACACAAAAAAGTCAAGCGCGAGTTGGAATATGAACTCGCTTACAGTCCATATAGTGTATTTCTTTAAAAGAGATGTTTACAAAATGTATGACGTCCTTAACAAAATTTTATACAATGTACAAAAACTTTTCGCGCGTGGGCAAAGCCGTGAGGCAAACATTAGTCAATTAATAAACCTTTAAATTATTACTATGGTTTCCATGTTATGGGGAGAGGTGGGAAGGGAAGCGATTGTTAGTAGTTAGGGGTTTAACCCTATCGCTAGCAAAATACCCTAACAGGTCGACCTCAACGCGGTTCCCCCTGGAAACCTTCGTGCTTAATTATTGATGATTTGGTCACAATGGACTAATTGACCTTTCATCTTCAGCTATCATCTCTTACTGATGCCCCGCCAGCGTACTGTTAACACAGGGCGGGGGTTACCATTTCATTATCGATCATTAAAAATAAAACTTTATAATGGAATATGCTAAATATCAAGAAGATGCAACCAGAGACTTCTTAGTAAGCCGCGTCGCGAACAAACAGCAGATAAGAATTATTATGTCATAAACAAACAGACTGCACTGTGTGAAATGCTTGTTGACAAGTGGCTTGTATTCAGAGGCCTTCGTCTATACTAACATTATAAAGAGAAAATGTCTGTTTGTTTATAATAGATAAATGAGAAATTAACAACAATAAAACCTTATTACATACTAAAAGTAATGAAGAGATAAAATATTATATAAATGTACTTCAGTACAGGCAGTCGAAAAAAAAAATATTATATCTACTTTTTTTTTTTAAGTTACCTATTGACCTAAATATGTTGTAACCGTTTCTTTCGGGGAGGGAGGGGGGATTGCTAGTAATGCGAACTACCAGTCCCATTGCTAGCAATATATCCTATCAGATCGACCTCCACATGGTCCTCCCTGGAAACCATCGTGCTGAATCCCAGGTGTATTCATCACGATGGGCTAACAGACCTGCCTTTTCATTCTCACCTGTTATCTATCACTGATGCCCCGCTAGCGTATACCGTTAGCACGGAGTTGCCATTCTATTATCATCCACTAAAAAAACCCTTTTCTCTCTCTCACTATACACACACACACACACACACACAGAGAGAGAGAGAGAGAGAGAGAGAGAGAAAGAGAGAGAGAGAGAGAAAGAGAGAGACAGAGAGAGAGAGAGAGAGAGAGAGAGAGAGAGAGAGATAGAGAGAGAGAGAGAGAGAGAGAGAGAGAGAGAGAGAGAGAGAGAGAGAGAGAGAGAGAGAGAGAGAGAGAAAGAGAAAGATAGAGAGAGAAAGATAGAGAGATAGAAAGAGAAGAGAGAGAGAGAGAGAAAGGGAGACTGAATCATTCAAATAAATCCAAAAACATTAAAAATAAATTTTAAATTCAAAGAGTTTACAAGTGGCTTCTCTTACATAGTAATTTTCCACTTTTACCCAATATTTTTTAATACAAACATAAGCAACTCCGGTATATTATAATAACAAAACCGACGTAATCATCTGGCACATATATTACAACGCTTGTTCCATTGTGAGATACCAGACTGTAACTGAATAAACATTATAATGGGCTCAATTAGGAAACATGCGGGGTCACGTGGCCAACAGAAATTAAACCAAGTACACTCAGTCATACAAATAGCTATAATAATATCTTACAAATAGCTTTTACAATATGACGAGAAATGAACAATGAATTTTAATAATTCTTGTTAAAAATGTAGAATGAAAAGGGCAATCGTTGATTGCAATGTTGAATCGATCGTTGAGACGTTAAAGAGACAAAAAGTAATAAACAAACAAACTTTTACGCTTTTACTAAATAGTAAAAAATAATTGTATGAAAAAAATAATCCGACAAAAATTGTCAAATAGTAATCTTCCAATTATAAAATCAGAAACCGTTACACATCCGTTACATTATTATTCTCGTTGCGTACTTTATCATTACGTACCTACTGTTCGAATTTAAATTTAGAATCAAGGTCGCATAACTAGGAACCTACCAGTTTGATATGTTTTCTTCCAGAAACCTAGTAAAATAAAAAAAAAATCTATGTGAAATATTTTAAATATAGCTAAAGATGTGTTGGAAGACAAAGAAAAAGACAGGTAGACGAAATCATGGAAATAGCAGGAAAATATCGAATGGATGTTGCTACAGACCGGTATAAATGGAATATGATGGAGGAAGCCATGAAACCATCAGGAGAACAATTGTTTATTCAGATGAATTTGGCAAAAGGTAGTTTATTAAAAACTCCTCTCGCAACAAGTAATAAATAATTTTCGGGATCAGGTATATATAAGATTATAAAAAATATAGTAAATGAAAAATATGATATTCACACGACCCTAGTAATAGCGTTACCGGAATTGTTTGCATATATAAATCTGATAAAAATTTAATAAAATCATTATATAATATAGTGGAGCTTGGTATAGGTAAAATATTATTATGCGCATTTCCCTACTCTCAATCCCTGACTAATGAACAGAATAAGTTCATTTATAGTATAAATAATTTAATTTATTCGATGACATATCATTGTAATGATATATTTTATTTTGAAAGTAACAAATTTGTTACAAATTATTATATGACGGGAGGTAATTTTTATCTTCCTAAAAAAAAAAAAGACTATTGCTAGTTTACTAGCGTATAAATTTGATCCCATTATAAGTAGTATAACGGGTTTAATTAGTAATATTATTAATTATACTAATAATGTGACATGTGTTAATTTAAACTAACATCTACGACATTGGTTAAGCCACAGGATATGGTCATTATTCATCAAAATATTCGTGGCTTCTCCAGCAAAGAATTAGAATTAAGTCTTTTCTTAGAATCTAACAATGTACGGGTGTTATGTCTGACAGAACATTGGCTTAAACAATATGAAATAATTTGTCCTTTTGAACATTATAATATAGCTAGTTTTTTTGCTAGGAACAATGCCATTCATGGCGGGTCAATTATTATTTTAAAAAATGATGTAGAATATAAAAACCGTCAAGACATTGTAAATATTTCTATTGAGCAAACAATTGAACTATCTTGCGTAGAATTAGTTACTTGTATAATAATTTGCGTTTATCGTCCGCCATCGGCTTGTTTTGATTCTTTTGAACTGGCTATGGAGGAAGCATTGAGACGAGTCGCACGGAGGAATAAAACATTATTTGTATGTGGCGATTTTAATGTTGATTTATTATCGGAATGCTCAATAAGCTTAAGATTGATTAACTTATTTAAATCACAATTTGCACAATCTTTTTTTAGAACCCACTAGGGTCGCAGGAAATTCTGCCACTTGTATAGATAATGTTTTTTGTAATTGTGAAGTAAAGGTGAAAATGAATTTCGACTGTCTTGGATCTGATCATTACGGACAAAAAGTTATAATTGAAACTAAGGGATCCAAAGGGACTCAAACAATTACATGCAGACAAATAACACAAAAGAATTTGGCACGTTTTAAAAATAAAATTGAACAAAAAATATCTAGTGTCATAGTACCTCAATATGACCCGGACATTGTATGTGAACATATTTTTAATTTAATTGAACATGAAGCTAGCAGTGAATTTAAAACAAAAACATTTTCAACTAGTGTAAAATCAAAGTTTTGTGACTGGGCCACGTTTGGTATTTATAAGTCTAGGGCTAATCTTTACGAACTTTACGAAAAACGAAGCTATATATCCGATCCCTTATTTCATGAACATGTAAAATCTTATTCGAAAATATTTAAAAAGGTTTGTCATACAGCTAAGTCTCTCTATTTAGGTAAAATAATAACTAAATCTAAAGATAAAATAAAAGCCACTTGGAAAGTAATAAATAGCGAAACTGGAAAAGTTAATTTTCAAAATAGCAAAATAGCTTTAAATATTAATAACAAATTGGTAAATTCCGACACAGAGGTCGCGCATACATTCGAATCTTATTTTACTAATATTCCATTAATTACGACACAGGCTCTAAAATCTTCCCCGTCTGCTGCTGAAACTTTACTAACAGACAATGTTAGCAAGTCATCAGCTGTATTTAACTTTAGACATACATCATCAGTAGAAATAATGAAAATATTTAAAGAGCTTAATAATAAAAAAACAGAGGATCTATGGGGTATATCTGTTAAAATACTGGATAGTATAATGGAAATTATTGCGCCCTCTCTTGCTTTTATTTTCAATAAATGTATAGATGAAGGTAAATTTCCTAACATAATGAAAATTAGTAAAATCATACCACTTTTTAAATCTGGAGATAGGAGTGACCCAATAAATTATAGACCTATATCCATACTCCCAGCACTCAGTAAAATTTTTGAAAAAATAATCCTTATGCAACTTGTCAGTTATTTCAATTTAAATAATTTAATCCACAATAGTCAATTCGGTTTTTCCAAAGGTCGTTCAACTACAGACGCAGGTGCAGAGTTGCTTAGACACGTATTTGCTGCATGGGAAACTAAAATGGATGTGATAGGTGTTTTTTGTGACCTTTCTAAGGCTTTTGATTGCGTTGATCATAATACATTGCTAAAAAAACTTGCTTTTTATGGCGTCAAAGACAATGCTTTAAATTTAATAAAATCTTATCTATCTGATAGAATACAGAAAGTGAAGATTAGCAACGCTACGTCTGACGGGTCACTTGTGCAAATGGGTGTACCTCAAGGATCTATTCTCGGTCCATTTTTATTCCTAGTTTACATTAATGATCTCCCATATGCCATGCAGGATAGATGCGGCATAGTATTATTTGCAGACGATACTTCATTGATTTTTAAAGTTAATAGAATGACTAATAATTATGACGATGTAAATAGTGCTTTGCGGTGTCTCCTGCACTGGTTTACAACTAACAATCTTATGTTAAACGCTAAAAAAACAAAATGTGTTAATTTCTCTCTGTCTAAAAGTTTTAATACTAATTGCAATATTAAATTAAATGACGAATCTCTCGAATTTATAGAATCTACTGTCTTTCTAGGAATCACACTAGATAATAAAACACAATGGGGTGCACAAATTCAAAGCCTTGCAGCGAAACTAAGTTCAGCAGCTTTTGCCGTGCGTAAAGTTAGACAGTACACTGATACTGATACTGCTAGATTAGTCTATTTTAGTTATTTTCATAGTTTACTCTCTTATGGAATATTACTATGGGGAAAAGCGGCAGATATTAAGAATATATTCATATTACAAAAACGTGCCGTTCGAGCGATCTACTGTATGAAGAGTCGTGACTCATTAAGAGAGAAATTCAAAGAGGCAAATATTCTCACCGTTGCTTCTCAATTTATATATTCAAATATCCTATATGTTCATAAAAATCTTGACTTGTTTCCAAAAAACAGCAATATTCATAATATTAATACTAGATTTAAAGACAAACTTGCTGTCCCCAAGTATCGTTTAGAAAAAGTTAATAGGTCTTTTATGGGAATAGGTATAAAAATTTACAATAAGATACCAAAGGATATGTTGGAATTACCCTTAAATAAATTCAAAACATCTGTTAAATCATATTTACTGAGCAAAGCCTATTACTCACTAAACGATTACTTGAATGACGAGTGTGCATGGCAATAGTTGTTCATGCACTGAATTTTCATTTAATGTTAGACATAGACACCTATATAAATATACATTGTAAATAAACTGGCTTTTAAAAAAAAAGTAATTCAATTGAGTTTCTTGCCAGTTCTTCTCAGTTGGATCTATATACCGAACTGGACGGTAGGGAAAAAAATAAAATTATAATGTAAAAATTTGACGTTCATAAGCGGCTAAAATGTCCTACATGAATAAATGATTTTTGAATTTGAATTTGAATTTGAATTTGAAGCTTTAACCTATACACCAAAACACAAAAAAAAAGTAAAAAAAATCGTTAATATTGTAAAATTAATCTTCAAAATATGGAAAATAAAGCTATAATAAAAATTGTTATGCCCTCGACTTTATCCACGTGACCGGAAAATATAAATTAAAAACGTTCATAACTTTTGCTTACTAAAGTGTGACAACGTCGTAACCAGCCCCCTTAAGGCCGGGGAGAAGGGTTTTGTAGAAATAGGATTTAGAGATGACATTACTAGCAAAATACTCCTCAGGTCAACCTCCACTTGTTCCGCCTAAAAACCATCCTATATAATTCTAGTCGAATTTATCACGATGGCAAACTGATCTGAGTTCATCTTCACCTCATTTCATTACCATTTTATTTTCATCTAATCCTAATAATAATATAATGGGGGTATAATGGAGACTAATGGCCCCATTGCTGGCAATATACCCAACCAGGTCGACCTCCACTTTGTTTCCCCTGGAAACCATCATGCTGCATTCCAAATGTATTCATCACGATAGGGTAACTGACCTGTCATCACTTACTGGTGCCCCACTAGTGTATACCGATAGTGCAGGCAGGGTTACCATCACGGTTAGGCTATTCCATTACCCATTAACCCCCCCCCCCCCTCAAGGCAAGCCAAGATACTAGCCACAAAATATTTGTTCCATAGTAAACAATATCATTCGTTGACAAATAACATTAAAAATAAATCCACACAAATTACCTAGATTACCAACCCAGCATTTGGCGGCTTCAAAGTCGGGCGTGTGTATGACGAACTCGCGGCGGGCGGGCTCGTACGTCGCCGTCGTCCGCATCAGCCGCGCGTCCGACCCGTGCGCCACCTCCGTCAATGCGAAACTCGCTAATATCTACGAATAATTACGAGTAAATATAGTTTATTATTAGTAATGCTACCAGTCTCAGTGCCAGCAATATACCCTGTCAGGTCGACCTCTGGTAACAATAATCATCTTTTGCGTAGACGGGGCTGCCATTATCACCCATTAAAAAAAAAACATGGGAGATAATGCCCCCTTGTGGACGTTTAAGACATTCAGGGGTGTAGGAGACCCAGAGAAAATTAGTATTCAAATATAAATAATATGGCAATAGCTGTTTTAAATTTGTGACAAATTGGTAACTAGTTTAAGTTGGAGGACTCTAGAAAAAGATATTAGCAAAGTGGGCGGTGGCCAAAATAAGGTTGAGAAGTTATACTCTACACAATTCCAGCCTTATTGCAAAATAATACAAAAAAAAAATTTTATGCTGTATACAGCAACAAAATAGTTTGGTAAAATATATTCTCTGATATAAAAATACAGTAAAAATAACTGTGTTTGGAACTTTATATTGACAGCAAGAAGAGCATGTTTCACAAGACTGAACTATGGAAATTAATTATTCATTTATATATTGTATAATATGTGAAAAGTAATTTTTAAAGTTTTAACAATTAATATTTCAAGATATTTTAAAAAACCAGACCACATAATAATAAAAAAAACACACCTCTCTGTTAAGGATGGTGGCTTCATAAAACTTCAGGTGACGTTCTGTACCCAGTGACAGCAGAGCATTTGAGAACAAGTAGATGCCGATGGCCATTTTGACGGAGAGACTTGGGTTCAGGGACTGCACTGCCTCGTTTATCGTCATAAGAGCTCGCGTCTAGGAAAAAAGCATTATACTTATTAAAATAAAAAAAGTTATAAAAAAAAAAGTAACAAAGTGTGACCAATTGGTCACACATGGTGCTAAAACATGTTTTTTATGCAACTTAGAACAGCAAACAAGCTGACGGCCCACCTGACGGAAAGTAGTAACCATCGCCTATAGACATGAGCAGTACCATGGACATAACAGTACACACACATACTGTTTCGCCCATGATACCCCTCATGTATTGCCATTCCTGAGGACTCAGGTGTTATTCCTCTGTACCCTGTAAATTCACACCATATCCTACCCTTCAAACCGAAACACAGCCATGCAAACACAACTGCTTCACGATAGAAACACGAATGGGACAGTGGTACCCAAGAAAACAACTTTTGCACAAAATCTCCCTCTGATAAAAGAAGGAAAACATGTGTTTGTTCCAGTATCACGCAAGAACTACTACACCAAATTAGACGTCTTTTCTTCAGCTTAAAAACTGGTAATGTTTTATTTCAATATGCCATCAACAAGTAGTCTTTTTCATTGCTTTTCTTATCTGAAATTTACACACGAAGTAAAACCGGTAAAAAGCTAATTTGCAATATATGACTAAGTACAGGAAATTACTTTGGTTCCAAGAAGGAAAATCGTTCTAGATATTTTTCTGTACAGTCAGACATGACATGTTATCATTTAGTTTAAGTAACTACATACCATGTGAAATTCAAAATGTTTTTGTACTGTAAAGATAGCAAAAAAACATACAGCTCATCTGATGGTAAACACTTACTGTAGGCATTACTTTGTTGCTGTTACTACTTTTGTTAGAAAATTGGAACATTTATTCAAATATTTATTAAAATATTGGATTGTGCTCAGAGGAATTATTCAATATGATGCCTACGGTTTTCCCAAGAGACTACAGCATGGGGTTCTCCAAAAGGGGGGTAAAGAGGTTTCTTCAGGGTCGGCAACGTGTGCGTAATACCTCTGGTATTGCAGGCTTTCATAGGCTATGGTAACTGCTTACCATCAGGTCCGTATGCTTGATTGCCACCTCAGTGATATAAAAAAAATATATATATATATTTTAAAGAAACCAGTTGTCAACTAACAACAAATCTATTTGAGTTAAATGTTATTGAATACATATTTTAAAATGTTATTACATACTTACATACCTACATTTGAATTAATAATCAGTATATATTAATATTAATCAATTTAATATAAGAAATATTATTTTTCAACTTATATTTCTTTTGGAAAACTGTTTGAAATCCTTGAAAAAAGATGCTAATGATTTCTATATAAATATGTATAAACAAAGTAAACAATACACAAATAAAATTTAGTAAACAAGTTCTTAAATCACAAAAAAACATAAATTTTAAAAAAGATAAATAGGTATTTTGTAAATTATATAGTATTGACAGTGATGATTTGAGAAGTAATAAATATATAAATGAGTGATCAAATATTATTGTAAATGTGTATGTTTTTGATTCTGATAAGTTAATTATTTTTATTTTCCTCTTATGTATAACAATTAAAAAAATTTTACACATTGCAATATTGTGGCAGAAAAAGTATGAACTATAATTTTTTTCTAATGTAACATCTATAAAATGTACCTTATTTGAAGAAATAAATGAATTCTATTCTATTGTAATAAAGATATAAATGGAAATATAAAAATATATCTTGAGCATTTTACACTAATAATCCCTGATAATAGTATTTGACACGCTTATTATTTCGATTGTCATGAACAAGCCGTAGTTTGCATGTCAAATTGGACTTACAATAAACGGGACCGTACAAATTGCCAAAAGGTGCTCATCATGCAATACATACCCTTTTACTGTAACTTGACTTGAACATCTCATTGGTGAGGAATTTGTATTCATTAATCCTCTTCAATTGAAGTTGGGTGATGCGTTTCTGCTCTTCGAGGGAAGGGGATACCGTATTGTGGGCAAAGAGCGGATCCTTTTCTAGGGTCTGCCATATTTTGTACTGCAACAAGAGACAAGAGAAATTGTTTTTTTTATAGATTTTTTACTTGTCACAACAGTTCAAAAATAATTTATTATGTATCAATTGGCGACAATAAAAAATATATTATACTCCAGCAATTTTTACTGTAAAAACAGTAACACAAAGTTAGTATAATCTATTTAATATAGCTGTTTTAAAAAATTTTATATAACATATGTATAAAAATATACAATCATTTGTTAAATGAATTTAGAAAATTAAATATTAATCAATTTAAAAATAGTCATAAATTACTATTAAAGAAATGTTATAATCCCTGACAATATAAGTACATAATATAAATGTTAGATTTATATATTGTAGTTATATTTATTATATGTAATGTATAATTTTAATATTTTTTTAATGTCATATTTATTGCTATTATAACATTTTATTTAAATCTGTAATTACAAATATATATGCTAGAAATGGCAGGACTTGTTTGGGACTTTTAATATGATTAATTTTAGTCTCATGTTTAATTAAATAAATAAATTAAATTGAATCACAATTCCTTATAGTCAAATATATGTCAAATATATATAGGTTACATTTTAATAGTTTTTTTTTTCCATATTCTTAATGGCCTGTTACAGACAACATGCTATATGTAAAGAGTATAAATATACTGTGTGGATTGAACTATACTCTTCAGGGCTCTATGGACCAAGGATAGAAAAATTTTGATAATGTTATGATATCACAATAATTTCTATTTTATAGTATCATTGGATAGGATTCCTCAAAGAGATCAACTTTGGTCATGTAACATTTATTTGCCCGCAGCTCAATTTTCAAATTGTAGCATCCCAAACAATTCCGGGAATTAGAAAATTTTTATTCAGGCCTCTATAATCTCAAAAATGGGCACCGTCTTCATGAAAAATCATGAAAAAACTTGATTCCCTTGAATTTATAAAAGCAAGGTTATTGTGACATACAAAAAATCTTCAAAATTATTTTCCCAATTCATGTGAAAAAATGTTTCTCTTAGGCTTTTCAATACAGCCCTATCTAAAACAACCACCCCTAACCAATGTATAGTATAGTACCCACTAACCAATGTGTGGTCTTTAAGACTAGCTTGTAATTTACTCTGCTTACACATAGACTTACCTTTAGTTTTAAGAGGTCTATATCTCCTTCTAACGACAGTTTCAATTGTTTCCAATTGAATGTAGCACTATTTCTATACGCATCTAGAGGCCCGCTAGGGATATCCGGTATAAAACTGAGCTCTTCCATATTTAAAAATATTTATTCGCGACAAGTCACCACAGCCTTTAAAGGATGAGAATACTGAACGAACACAACTTTTATTGCCAATGAATTTAAATAAAAAAATTTTTTAAGAAAAATATTTTAAACTCGCCCGCACATGTTTAAATTTATATATACGCTCTATCGTGAAATACCCACGAAATGCGAATTTAGAAACGAATTGTCACCTTGAAATTTAATGGGGAATAGCAAATGTGCTTATATTTTTTAGTATCCGTAGACCGACAAATTCGTTATGAAATTTATTAGTTCACAGAAATAAAAATAGTAACCGATTTAGATAGCGACACTGACAATATTTGAATTTCGAGCAAGTTAGATTTCAAGTCGTACGAGTGTAAAAATTAGAAAAATTAAATATTCCCTACAAGAAACCACACCACACCTAGGAAAGCAGGCACGCTTTGAAACAGTAATCTAATCATGACAAGAAGAGTCGGAACCACCTTTATATAGACGAGACAGGAAATTTAATTTATGCAACTATCCAGAAGCAATTAATACCAGAAAATAAATAAAAATTCATAGTGTTGTAAAATTGTCGACGTCGTACAATTCTTTATGTTATACAACGCTATTGTTATGTTGTAATAAAAATACATATTAAAATATTTTTTTCAAATTCTTTACAAAATATATAAATCTATTTTGTAAAACCTCATTTTTGCAAAAAAAACTAAATGGGCATATATAACAAATGAGCACAATGATGACAGTCGACGTGAGTAAAGAGCAGGGAACACTATTTCTTAATATTTCAAAGAAATGGTTGCATAGATTTCATACAAATGTTATTTTATTTAAAATGTTGTAAATTTGTATCTAATGAAGGACCACTGACATAACAGTTACTGTCAAAATGATGACAATGACAATAGTAATGAAAAACTACAGAGCAAAGAAATGAGATCAAACAGTTAATCATACCAATCAATTTGCCAATGTTAATATAAGATAGAATTTTATTAGAAGGCGGAGGTTTAAAAAAAAAACGCAATTGAACTAATTGGCGCTATTTCACTAAACCTATTTCAAGCCTATATTTAATTTGATTATTTTACAAAATTATTGGACAATCACAAACTAAATATAATAATTTTATCTATAAACATTACAATTCTCAAAACCCACATAGTCTATTTAATTTATGCTCAAAATCCCATTGTAATGTATGTTTAACCAGGTTTTTGTATATAATTAATTAAAAGCTTCGGTTGCTCTTATTTGTTAACTTAATATTGTATTATGATAGTTTCGCGAAATTACTATAATCGACTACAGGCATAGTAATTTTGACTTTAATGTAAAACTATATTTTATTGTTTAGAATAAAAATAAGTTTAGATAAATGGCATATTAGAATCGACCGCATGGTTTTATATTTTAGTTGCGAATAGAACGATCATTATTTTCCAAATTATTGAAAAGTACTTCCAGGTAAGATTGATTTAAAGATAAATTATGAAGCTTTATAATCGATCCTAATCTGGTCTCTCTCGGGGCGGGGGGGGGGGGGAAGGGATTGTTAGTAATGAGGTCCAATAGCCCCATAGCTAGTAATATACCCCTTCATGTTGACCTCCACGCGGTTCCCCTTGGAAAACATCATGGTTATTTTTGGTCGAATTCATCATGGTGTGCCAACTAATCTGGATTCATTTCTATCTATCATCTTCCACTGATAATCCGCTGATGTATGTTGATGGCATAGGCGGGGTAGCCATCACCTATTAAAAAAAACTCTGGTCTCCCTAATTTGTAGATATTGATTATTATTCGAATTTTAACATTTTTTCTTAAATAAAATGTTATCAGCGCCATCTCTGTTATACTTAAGAAATTCTAAGCAAAACAAATAGCACAAATTTATTGAAACTGATGCATGCTTGCATGCTCAGGCGTCGTTTTTCTTCCATCCAAGTCGTTTGCGTACCATGTAATTACTAGATGTCGCTACGGTTAGGACATAATTAATGAACTGTGTAAGAAGGATAGTATAATACAAGTTTCATGAAATAGAATGAGATAGATTAAAATACTACTACATACATACTTCACCACTACAATCGCACTGTTACGTTGCAGCGATAAACAAGAGAAGAGAAGTTGTAAAACAACAACTGTGTTCAGTTCAGTCAGTGGTTTTCTATCAGATGTAAAATGGACGGGCGGTCGTGTCGCTGCACGCTCGCGAACTCCGCGTGTTCGTTGTAATATCGATGTTCAATGTTTCAAATTTTGACGTAAAAACGAATATTCTTTTTGCGATTGTTCGACTACTTCGGTGTTCGGTTGCCGAAGGAGATTGTGTTAGTGCATGTGTTTTTTTATTATATGACGTTAACGCTCACTTCACTTGCAGTGATTTTGCTGATACCTCACCGGTGGGTGCGCGCGTGATAAACTACGTGTTCGGTTTTTTGAAAAAGGCGTTTATCGTCTAGTGTGAGTGTTTTACAGTACCACCATGCTGTGCACGGTGACATAGTGAACGTTGACTTGACCCTGACCTCTGTGAAACATGTCTGGGCGATCGGATTGCAGGAAATTTGCACCAAACATCTTCAATAAGAGCAAGTGCACTAATTGCTTTCGACAGAAAGAGGAGCATAGTGCTGAAGCCTTGGAATCTAATCGGGTAAGTCTGCGCCATCAAAAATGTATAACGTACACGTTTCAATCGTCAACACAAAATATCTATTCGGATGTGCGTCCGTACACGGATGTGTACATGTGTGCGTGGGCTGACCACTTCAGGTGTTGTTCTAACGGATTTCATCGGGTTATTAAATTCGAGTTACGTCGTTTTCTTATTGGGTACCTACTCTCTATTTGACAGCGATTGATTTTGTTATTTTTACCTTTAGCTAAGCAAGTTTAGATACTTGTAATAATGTACCTATACCAACCTACCCTCTAATTTTATTCAAAATTATTATGTTAAGAAACAATATTCTGAATTACCTTCTCCTGTGTTAATTATTATTTAGACTATTTACCTGTTAAAATATAGATTTATAGAAATAGACACTTGGATATTTCAGTACATTTAGGTATAAAGTGTTCTTTATCCGTGAAGAATTATTTTTATGTAAAAAGAATTATTACTTAATCTGCGTGTACAAAAACGTAAACCTATTTGACAGATTAATAGGTATTATTGAGGCAGCATGGTCTCCGACCTTAGCCTGTTCCACAACGGAACAAACGTACTAAAAAAAAAAAAAGGTATTATTGTCACAGACATAACAATTGTCTGTGATTATTGTTCTTAATTGTTAGAATTGGTATTTACTCCACCATAGACAAATTTTTGTTTATATTTTTATTTATTAATAATCATGAGAGCGTAACAAACATTAAATGTTGTATTTTTAACTATTTTTATTATCATAGCCTTGTTTTCCAGACAGTAGAAAAATTAAATTTACCTAGTGATCAACTGTTGGTGTTTTAATTACGACAAAATAAGTTGGTATTATTAATTGTAATAAAAGTAAACTTAATAAATAATATAAATTAATTATAAAGGAAACATGTAAAATAAAAACATTATGTTCCAAATTTTACCGTTTTTAGACGTCTTTTCGAACGGAAGAATTCAGTATAGGTTTAAATTTATGTTCAAATATTTAAATTGTTACATATTGAAAATAGCTCCGCCTACGAGAATTATGGCGACGGGCTTAATTAACAGCTAAAACACTAACCTTCTTATGCATAAAAACGTCAAATATCTCATAAACCTATTTTATCTATTGAACTGTTTTATCTTTTTCTTTTGTGCTAAATTCTTAGTTTGAAAATGGTGACAAAAGATTGTAATAGTTAAAATTGTTTTAGTTTGTAGCAGGTTTTATTTTTTTTTGATGACTAAGGAAGTAAAAAGTCGTCATTGATATGAGCATTTATGTGTATCGAATTCTTGTAAATTCTATTTTTGAAATTTTAAATACTCGATATTTATTTATTTTTGAATATCGAACTATTTGAAAACCATTTTATGATCTGCGTTTTCAAATAGTTCGATAATACAAGCAATGAATAATCGTTCTTGTTTTCCCATGATACCTATGCATTTTTCTCACAAATAATTACCTATTAAATAGATATATTCTCGGATCACCGTGTAGGGCATATGCTTTACATGCTTGTATGAATAATTTCCTGTTTTCTCATTCTTAGAAAATACTCCGCAGTGCCATAATTAGAATTTGTAAAAAACTTTTTCTATCTTCTAATATGCTTTGGAATGGTTGAATAGATAAACGATAAATAGAACACGATAGAGACGTTTGCCTTTCCTTTCATGATATTATTCAATTACATTGTAAAATTATCAACTACTAGCTATCCGCCCCTGCTTCGCACGTTAAAGTAAATCGAAAGACAAATTTGTAAATTATATTAACTTTAATAGGCAAATTTTTGATATATTGGTAATATTCATAGTAATTTTCGTATAATCTCTATTTTTTCGGAAATAATATATAGTTTGTGTTACTCGCTAATAATGTAGTTGTCTATAGGTGAAAGAATTTTTAAAATCGATTGAATAGTTTTTGTGTTAATCCTTTACAAACAAACAAGATACAAAAAACCCCAAATCCTTCCTTTTTATATTATTGTTATATATCGTCATAGTCGTAGAATACTGACGGATCTATATACGTAATATTTGTCAGATCCGTCAGTATTCTACGTCTATGACGATATTATTACACAGTATGGGTATATGGATGACAAAATCCGTGTGTTGAAGTATGTATAATATACATCATTATCATTTATCCTCTAGATGTCGTAAGTGGCGATAGAGGAAACAAAAAATACTCAGTTGCAATAAAAGGAAATCCCAAAATAACTCCAATCTAAAAATCGCGTGAACCACATGCAAATAGTACCTACTATTATGGGGAAAGAAAGACTTGAGAGACTGTTTCGTTTTGAGGGGTGAGACATGGCAGTGAATTTACAGGATACAGAGGAACAACACCTGAGTCCTCAGGAATGGCAACACATAGGGGGTATCATGTGCGAAACAGTATACTCTGTTATGTCCATGGTACTGCTCATGTCTATAGGCGACGTTTACCACTTTCCATCAGGTTGGCCGTCAGTTTGCTTGCCATTCTAAGTTGCATAAATAAGATTTGTCATAGTAGTGGGACATTAACCCTAGAACTGTAATCCCATTTTTTATTTGTAAACTAAAAACCGGGTTAAATTATTACCCGTACGGGTTTATTGTTCGTAGTATTGTTCTAAAAGCAGTAATCTGACTCATAAGTATATGATTTTTTGTTTTTTATGCCAAATAAAATAATGTAGAGCACATTCAATTTCACCAAGGTTTAATTGGTGAAAAATCGATTTATTTTGACTTTTTTGTTTTTTGACATGTCAATCCCATAATATCTAAATAGCTTATCTACTACTATTTTAATATATAAAAATGAATCGCTGAATGTGTTTTTTTTTTTAATGGGTGAAAGTGGTATAGTAACCCCACCTGCGCTAACGGGAGACGCTGGCGGAGCACCAATGAAGGTTTAAAGATGAGAATGAAAACAGCCAAATGTTAGTCCATCATGATGACTATTCTATGATAAAATTAACCATGATAGTTTAATTAACCGTCATTTTTTACATTTGTTTATTATTATTGACATTATTTTTATTGTTTTCAGTTATTATTACTATAATTTTATATTGTACACGCTGATATGGTAGAATATGGAATAATGGACAAATATAATAATGTACCCATATTCGTGCAATAAATGATTTGATTTGATTTGAAGTACTTAAAAATCAATTTGAACTTTAATACCATACAATAAAGTTTAAGTGTTAGTAGAGAGTTTCCGGGAAGACAAAACAACTGAGTGGCGTCCCGAATAGCAGATTACTAAATATTTTCACTTACTAATTTACTTAAGCACAAGACAGTTTTGGCAGTAGAAGCATGAATTATGCTCTGAACAAAGTTTTTAAGGCAAAGAAAGGTGTATTTTTGGACAATTGGCATACTATGTAGTGATTTTGTGAATGAGTCGCGTGTATTCAGACTGACATACTTTTTGGCTTGTTAACTTCGTGACGCCGAATTCAGTGACAATTTTACGTTGGTGTTTATATCCACAAATCGACTTTTAACTGTTTACCAGTAAGAATAACTGCTTTAATGGTCATTCAACATGTACGTATTAGTTGACAATTGGCCAATGCTAAACATAAGTCTCCATAAAAGGGGGTTGCTAGTAGTTGCCACGTTTGACAGGCAGGTTGGCAACCGCAGTTAGGCTTTGGTAATATTTTAAGAAGGACGCTACTGCCCACCCCTCGACCATTAAGTTGCTTTAATCGCCTAAAACGAGAAAGAATGGGGTGGCCCATTCTATACAGAGACTACACGGTAACGAATATTGTATAATCAATATTGACATTTCGCATTTGTAAGGTCGGTTAAATAAAAAAAAATGTAATACATATTGCAAGTGTGTGCAGTTAATAAATCTGCTACAATCGAGGTTGTTTTTACGCATGCGCGTGAGTCATTTATGAATTTTAAAAATAAATGAAGTTTGGCAGATGGAATTTTGTAGTTAGAATTATCCATAATGTAGAGTCGTGCTGAGTGAGAATTTTGGAACATAGACATTATGTTTCTCGAATTTTTTTTTAAGGCTGAAAGTTCAAAATACCTGCTTTCAATTTGAACTATGAGAAATTCAAAAGCTGCTTACTACTTATTATGTTATAAATGTAATATTAAATGCAAAAACTATATATAACGCTCACGACTGTAATCCTTGATGAGGTAATCAGAGGAATTTTTCAAAACGTTATAGTAAACGTAACATTTACTTATTCTGCCATTTATTCAGAATAAGGCATTTATTTCAGTTGTACAGTATAATGCATACAATGCATGATATGTATGATTTCATTTCAATATCGTATGATTATATCGTCACGGTATAATAGGGGAGTAAAATGCATGCGATAATATGTAGACACTTATTTTTTTATGTATATATGAACACAATATCGTCTTAGTAAATTAATTGTATCTGTATATTGTTCGCGAGGTAAGTAAAATATGAGTATTATACTTGTAGTTTACTTTTTAATTAAAATTATATCGCAACGATAAATTGTACGATATAATGATAAATCATTAATATAATTATAAAAGTTGCTTGTTATTTACAGGAAAATTATTATATTAATTGAAAATCAAACCTATATCACGTAGGTTCCTAAAATAAACTACACGTATAAGACATATACCTTACTATACTAGCTTTTAACCGCGACTTTGCCCGCGTGACCGAAATATATACTTTGAACACGAGAAAGAGTGACCTATATCCTTCATTCCATATAATAAATGTATCAAATTTCATAGTGATTCGTTAAATAGTTAAGACACTAAGGCAACATACAAACTAATTTTCATATTTATAATATTAGTAGGAATTAGTAAGGATATGTTTTATGATGTTAGTGATTAGGCACGCTTCTTTCTTGATATAAATGTGTACCTAGCTAATTAAAATGAAAAGCAAATATTAAAATACAGAATTTCAATGTCACATTACTCATAATTAGATTAGAATTTACGTATTTGTT